AAGCCTATTGGTTAAAGGCACATTGTTAAAACTATATTTAGCTTTGATTAGCCATAAGAAGCTAACATTTAAGGTATAAAGCATTGCCTACATTTAGTGCAATATAATTATGTAACGCCATTTGTTTAAAGTTTTATATTGAATAGTGACGTCATCAAAAGATGCTTATGGGTGCGCCACCTTTTTTCATAATTTTTCACTAAAGGAATAATAAATGCAATCTACATTTAAAAGTTCATCTACTGAAACCCCAGAAAATCAATTTTTATTCAAAAAGTTTAAAAGTTATATACTTAATATATATATATATATATATATATATATATATATATATATATATATATATATATATATATATATATATATGTATGTATATGTATATAAATATGTACATAAGTATATATAAATACATATATATATATATATATATATATATATATATATATATATATATATATATATATATATATATATATATATATATATATATATATATATATATATATATATATATATATATATATATATATATATATATATATATATATATATATATATATATATATATATATATATATATATATATATATATATATATATATAATATATACATAAGTATATACATAAAGTTGTCTTTACTAACCATCAATTTGTGTAAAGGTAGGATTCGTTTCTGTATTTAAAAGATTAGCAAGTTTTACTTCACTCATTAAAAGCTTTATAAGTTTCCAGTTCGATGGATATCATACTTTTTTTTATCAACCTTGTCTTCATGTTGGCAATCGTTTTTGCTAATGTTTTTATATCAATCTTTATTCCTGTCATTTGGATCATTTGGTCTTGCATTGTAAAAAATACTTTGTTTTTCTTTATTTTAACGTTTCGAACTTGGCTATTTTTGTAGAGGGATAGGCAGTTCGCATAGTATTTATATAAAAATTTCATCTTCACATTTGTTAAAACTTTGGCTATATTATTTTCACTTGATTTAATTGAAATCTGGTTTGAAGTAGCCATTTATAAACATTAAGAGTTAAAAAAGCTATTTATATTGACAACGGAATATAGCTTTTAAACCAACACAAAAGAAAGTTGCTATTTCGGCAAGCATTTAGCTTTTACTTTTACTCAGCTCTTTTTTTTTTCACCTGGCCTAACTGTCATTTATGAGAATCTTTTTTTTTCACCTGGCCTCACTGTCATTTATATTTCATTTATCATACTGTCATTTATGAGAATTGTTACTGTCATTTATGAGAATCTTTGGTTGCAAGCTCAGAAAATTAGCTTCAAAATGATTTATGTCTTTACCAAATTTCTTGATCTTCTTAATTGTTCTTAATCTTCTTAATTAAATCTTCCAAATTTCTTGATCTTCTTAATTGCTGTCTTTGTCAGTAAATGTTTCATCAAAAAAACTCAATAATGTCTGTCACACCTAGTTCCCTAATAAAGACGCATTCTTATTTAGAGTCTAAATTTGCCAACTTGTCTAGAAAAAAAAATTAAGACAGTTTTTTTAAATTATTTAAAAAATTTTCTCTCGAAAAAATAATTTGTAAAGAAATAGTAATTATTTAGACTATAATTATTTAGTAATTATCTAATTCAAAATTATTAAACAAAAAATCAAAAAATAAAAGACAATTCAAAATGCATAAACTTGAACTATTCAATTACTAATTATAGATTCTTTATAATATCAGCACATTATTAATTGTGCATGTATTGTTCATACAGCTATATTTAGTACAAAAAAAATCAATTAACTTATTTACTAATTTAGTTTTGGCTTTCATTTTTATAAAACAATAATGAAAATAACAACAAGCTACCTTTCAGAATGGGTTTCGTTGATTAGCTTTCTAAAAAATCAATTTAATTTTGAAATAAAAAATAATGCATACGTACGCGGAGGGTGGGTGGTGAGGTCTTCAAAAGCGTACAGGTTCCTACAAGGGGGAGGGGGTCCTAAATAAGTGATTTTACTCTGTACGTACTTTATGGATGCCCCCTAAGGACAACTGGGAACACTTAAATAACTACAAAAAAAAAAAACAAAAAAAAACATGATAAAATATAAATTTGTTAAAAGTATTATTGTTAAAACTTGCTTTACTGTCGTGTGAATATTAGATTTATTATTTATTTAATATTAGAAAATTTATTCAAACAAACTTGCGACTAAAACATTTTTAATAGAGTTATACTTTTCCCGGGCTCAAACTATTTTGGCGGGAATTGAAAATCTATATGACAAGGTATGACAAGCATTTTAAATAGACATAAAAACACAACTTACTTTCTCAAATATAGTGTATTCATACATTTAATAGAAGACATTACAAACTCATCGATCACAGGATCAAGATCAAGAGTTGTGGTAATTTTGTAATGGCAATTTAAATGAGCAAGATGATTCAATCGCTATTGAGATATTGTAGAACGCAAAGTCTCAAGCCTACGAAGACAAAAAAAAGAGCGCTCACCCGTACATGAGGTGACAGGCATAGTAAAATCTTCACTAACTCCACAAACTCGGGTATTAATGGAGTTAATTGAGAAAGAACATCATTTTGGGCTACCAGCACATTCAAAACAAATTCAAAATTGTTTAGTAAAATATTCTTAAATTTGGCATGATCCACATATTGCGATGTAGTTGCAAAAAATCTTGGATGTCTTGGATGTTGGAACGAATCATACATCTTGATGGTATTTTTTGTTTATCAAAAAATGATCTTCGCGATAATTTACCGTCAAGATAAATTTTTTTTTTCAAAATGTACTACTTTAAACAAAATTTACTATTTTACAAAAACAAACTGTTATTGAAAAACATTTCAGGTATGCAGCTCAATTTTTGATCACATTATTCAGGCAAAAAAGTATAATACTTCAGTTCAAATATAATAACAATGTGGCAGCTTTTTTGTGAAAAAAATTCAAATTTAAAAGTGAGTAAGTCTTTTTACTAGAACCATTTTAAAACAAATTTTAACTTTTGGTTTAGATGCTCACAAGTGGACACTTGTTGCAAGTGGAAAGAATTAAATATTATATTAAAATCACCAAATTTCATTAATGTAGCTAAAAGAGCAGCACAGGCTGATTTAAATGTTCATTAGCACAGGAGTAAAAAATTTCACAATGCTCTAAAACATGAAATATCAGAAGATGGCTCCAAATAGGAGCACGTTCTATTATTGGAATTTGACCATATAAAGACAATAAGCTTGCCAAAAATACCTGCCTAACAACTTTATTACATAAGACAGCTATCAATCAATATTTTTTCTATACATAACATTAAAGAAGAAAAACTCATCCATATATATTACATGAATGTCAAGGAAGAAAAGGACCTAATGAATTTGCGACTTTTTTAAATGATTGTTTAATCTCAGTTCCACCAAAGTATAATAGATTACCTTTGTTTTGTGACAACTGTAGTGGACAAAATAAAAATCAACCCTCTAACACGCTTTTGTTTATACTTAACAGTTTAGAACAAATGACCGTCATGAAAAAACATGACGGTCATTTGTTTTTAAAACAAAAACAAATGACTTTATCACATGCATTAACTCTCCGAGCTTATCATTAGAAGCTCCAGATCAAAAAAGTTTACTATGAAAGAAATAGTTGAAACAACTAAATTTTTTGATTTCAAAACTTGGAACCTAACACAAAATTTTTTTAATTTTTTAAATCTTATTTTGATGCCCTAAGCAGTTCTTACGCCTTTTTCCAAACTGGTGTCTCAAAACTTGCCCAGAGGTGGGATTTGAACCACGGATTCTTTATTTCTGAGGCAAGTGCACTGCCACTGCGCCACATTTGATAAAAAAAATCTCGCCTTTCTTCAGAAATAACGGGTAAAAATACCCTAAAAGATAAGAAGGTTCACTTTTCTAAAAGTAACTTGTTTTATTTTGTATACGAGCATGGTAAAAAAGGCTACATTAAGGCATTCACCAATATTAATGGTTTGATTTGTCATATTTTTTTTATGTCCAAACATACAAACAAACATACAAACAAACATACAAACAAACATACAAACAAACATACAAACAAACATACAAACAAACATACAAACAAACATACAAACAAACATACAAACAAACATACAAACAAACATACAAACAAACATACAAACAAACATACAAACAAACATACAAACAAACATACAAACAAACATACAAACAAACATACAAACAAACATACAAACAAACATACAGGTGCTGTACTGCAGTTGGACAATTTAACAAAGTTACACTGAAAAAAGCGAAGATGGAAGATCTTAACAAATTAAAAGAATTAGTTTCTGAAAAATTCAACGAGTTTTATAACGAGCTGTACTCCTGGCTATCTAATTAAAGAAAAAATTTCCCTGATAGTGACTTTGAGGAAGAGCTAGATTAAAATGCTTAGACTTAATGTTTACTGATAGCTACCCAGTAAACACACAAACGTCCATCAAACGTCAAAACATTGTTTAGACAAAACGTTCAGATTTGGTCGATTATCCGTTTACAATAAAATCCAAATTAACGTTTAGAATAAACGTCCATAAAACGTCTATATTCAAATGTATTTTAGACGTCTGTTATATGATTATTATATGTATATAAAGTGTTTAGATTTTGCCTAATTTACGTTTAAATCTAGTCTAATTAAATTAAATAAAGCGTTTAGATTTAGTCTAAGTAAACGTATATTAGACGTATATTAAACGTATATTAGACTTTGAGGTCTTGTCTAATAGTTTCTTTGATTTAGTTAACGTAATATCAACTTATTTAAGTTTTAAAACTAATATAAATTAAAATTACGTTATAACATTTTAACTTTATATAAATAATAAAAGCTATATAGGTCTTGAAATTTATAAACAAGATATAGATATAAAAGTAATGAAATTTATAAATAATAATAAAGCTATAAACTTATATAAAACGTTTTTATATAGTGGGGATTTAGAGAAAAAATGTTCGTGCACACTATACTTGTTTATGCTTTGATAATAAAAAAAAGTCAAATAAAAGTTTACATTAAGACTAAATCAAAGATTACTTAAAATAAAATTAATAAACTCATAAAGAAATATTTTGGATCACTGTTTTCTCTGGTTTATGCATTATTAAAAACCTTCCTAGAATACCGTCTACCGCTTGTTCATCTTGCATTTGTTTGTACAATATCATATTCTACATTCGTATCCTGATCGTCTAATTTCGTAAATTGATTTGTAACCGAAAAAAGTAGGGTAAAATAGTTACCATTTTAAATATAAATTCATAAATCGAAACTAGAATTACACAGAACAACTTTACATATAGAGGATTTTCTGAATGCAAGTTATCGAAATTTCTTTTACCATCCATTTTTATTTTTGACATTAGAAAATTAGTAGCGTCACGACATAACATATGCAGTGGTTTTTAAAACCTTTGTTTAACCAATTTTCTTTAGCAAATGTAACTAAAATAAGTTAAAATGCATTTAAAATAATAAAATAAATGTTTTGTTATTAAACCTCTCGATTATTGCAAAGATGAATACTACTGTTGTTACTATGAAATCTACTGTTACACAATCATACTATTGTTTACAAAATGAATTTAAACTGTTTGTAAAACTTACGAAAAAAGTTCTTGCAACAGGACTTTCATGACAAGAGACCAGCAACTCATATTTTTTAACTGTGTCAATGTGGTCATCAATAATTTCTAAAACATCGAAGATTGTTAAAATAAAAAAGCTTTTTAACTTCCATCAATTAAAATGGCGCACCCGACATTCGTTTATTATTATTTATCAGTTGTTATGCTTTCAGTTGTTGTAAGGAAGTGAATCTTGAAAACGCATTTTATTCTAATTTAATTATTTAGCCTATAAAAAACAAGTTTTTAATAGATTTTTTATTTCGTTTTAATTATACATATTTAAATCGCGTAACTTAAGCTGTTATGTGAGTCTTTTGATCAAAGGCTAAATTACTATATTATAATATAATAAGCGTTTATTAAACGTCGATCAAACGTTTAGAATAATGACTTATATTAGTCAACATTGTAAACTTTTGATTGATGTTTAATAAATGTATATATTAAAAGATTTAAAGCGTAGATTTTAAATCTATAAATGTTTACGTTTCATTAAGGTCGATTAAAGGTTTACAATATTGATTAATGTAAGTTAATATTCTAAACGTTAGATCGACGTTTAGTAAACATATATATAAAAAAGTTTTAAATATACATTTCAAATCAAGCGGCAATTTTTATTAAATAATAGGTCGCTTAACGTTTTTATCTATTTTTCTATTTCGACTAATTATTGACCAATTCTGAACCAATCTGTGTTTACTGGGTATTTCAGTTATTAATTCATATATATTTATTATATTTATTACTGGCACATTAAAACATTGTTTTAATGTACATAGTCGCAGTGCCGCCGAGGGAAAGAGGGAGAAGGGGGTCGCGAGGGACAGTTTGCCCCGGGCGACAGATATCCAAGGGGCGCCAAGTAAAACTTAGGTACCTAAAAAAAGAGAGAGCAGTGTTTTTAAAAAGGCAAATCAGCTTTTTAAAAACACTGGTTCATATATATATATATATATATATATATATATATATATATATATATATATATATATATATATATATATATATATATATATATATATATATATATATATATATATTATATATATATATATATATATATATATATATATATATATATATATATATATATATATATACTTAACCCTTACATAATAAAATAACACTGCATTCAAACAAACTTTACAAACCAAATACTTTTTTCTCTAGATCCTCGGACATTCAAGGGGTTTCCAAAATTGTAATTTTTTTTTTTTTTAACTTAAATATGTTGAGTCTCAAATAAAACAAAATTATATAAAATTCTGTAAAATCAAGTGATTTTTGAAACACCTTTTTATATAATATTAGGGACCTGTTATATGTTTTAAGGTCTGGAAGGTGTTACATTTAGGAGAGTATGCTATAGAAAACATATAGTGGGAACGCAAGGACATTGTAAAAACTGTTGTTTTTTGAAGAAAAAAAATGTATCTAATTTTATGTGACATTAATATTTATGTGTTGCAAAACAAAATATTGCACATAAGTTATGTTTTTCGTATTAGTGAAGTACAACTGTTAGCATTATTTCCTTTGGTCAAGGAAAAGAAAGATTGTGATGACTAGTAAACAGCACTCCACTATTTTTCTTGCAGGGTTGGATCCCACATAACATTGTATCAATCTTTTTCTAGAATAATGTGTAACATATAAACCATTTGAGCTGATAATTGACCGAGACCAGGAGCTTTTGTTAAATTGCAAATGTCTATATTTTTACTGGCTTCAATAATTGTTGGTGCTAAAAATATTTAGTCATTTCTATGATCTGATATTTCCAAATCGTTACCAAGCTTTTCAAGAATCAAAGCAATAAACGCTGGTTTCTTTATGATTACAACATAATCTAATGGGCCGTTTCCGACTCTTATTTGGAAATGGTGATGTTCGTATCGTTGCTCTGTTAAAACTTGGTGTTATCTTATAATTGTAAAGGTAATAGAAGTAGTGTATTTAAAATCAGTCTTCTAATGGACTCACAGTTGCAATTATCTTGTTCATGTAACCTTCTTAAATAGTTTAAAGTTGTCATAGTGGCATCACCTATTTATGGAAACCATCAATTGGTTCATATTCTTTAATTTTTTTAAATTGCTCTAAAGTACATTTTCGATTCTAAATATTATAATATCTACTTTCTTCTTGACTATGGCCCAGTTTTCATGTAATGTTTTACACAACACTTTCTATAGTGAAAAGTAAATAAGCTTTTGACTCGCGTAATAGAATAGAAAAGCGTATACACAGCAAAAATCTTTTTTGGTAAATCATTTTAAAAGCTTTATAGAAAAATGTTTATAGATAGCAGTATTTTTAAAACAAATTCTTCTCGTGTGCTACTGAATACATATTTTTGATTAACTTTATTATTCTTGTATTTAAACTAACTTTAAAAATAAACAAACCTTTTTGTCAAAATCAAGATTTTAATCACATGTAATGATAGGTTTATAAGTTATTTAAAGATTGCAATATTCAGTTTATGCTTCACCTAAAATAAAAGTTAATATATTATAAATAAGAGTGAATGCACAAAAATATTATATTTAATCAGAAGTAACTATATAGTGCGGACTTTAGAAGAAAGAGAACGATAAAAAGAATTTAAATTTTACTTTTTACAAGCTTTCTCAAATAAGCTGAATTTTTTACCCAGTGCTTTATATTATTTCAATTCGATGGGCTCTTTATTATTTCTCTCTATAAAAGTTCAACATGCGCTCTATATTATTTCAATTCAAAATACAAACCCGAAAATTGTAAAATTTAACGGATAATTAAATTTTAATTGTTTTTTTTTTAAAGGTATGCGCACAAAATTTAGAAACAGTATTATATCCTCAATTAAATCAAGTTTTTGTAAACAAAAGCAAAATTAAAGGCCAAAATATATGTGAAATTTAATTTTTATGAAATACTTCAAAGACAGTGAAGTATAACTGATTGCCATAATATTTATAAAACTTTATAATTTAATTACTAATTTAATTAACTAGTAATAATTTTAAAAGCATTGGAAAAGGTAAGGAAGTTTAAAAAAAAATGAAAAAAATTTGTTATAAAAGCTGCGGGGAAAAAGATAACTTACAGACAGATTTCTAAACTTTTCAATGTTTCTAAATCAGGTATAATTCACATAATGAAAAGATTTTGTCAGGTCAAGTCTTTTGAAAGCTTCGCTCAGGAAAACTTAAAAAGCTTAAAAGCTGATAGATTATTAGTTAGGTATTCCAAGAACAATCCTTACAAGACTGCTGTTGAACTTAAATCAATGCCACAAACTGTAGCGTCGATACAACTAAACGTTGGTAATGACAAAATAATCTGTACAGCAGCCGTCCATTTAAGAAATTGCTGATATCTCCAAGAAATTTAAAACCAGAATTTGCAAAAAGATCATCTTACTTAAACATTTAATGCTTGATTAAAAAGTCCTTTTCTCTGATTAATCAAATTTTATGCTATTAAAAAATGCTACAAAATTACTAATTCTGTCACTGCTTATATTAGTTGTATCGATATTATACATTGGACGTCTGACGTATCTAATTAATTAGGTATGTCCGACATCCAATAGTAGATAGATTCAATCCAAAATATCATTTACCCACTGTTAAGCATTGAGGAGGAAATGTTATGCTTTAAGAAATGTTATGCTTTATTTGTGACATTGTAGATCCCATTCATCACATAGAGGGTATTATGGATCAGAAAACTTATTAGGACATTGTTTAGACAAATTACAACACTATTTAAAGAACTTATTAGATATGAATGAAAGAACAAAGTATAAAATGTCTTGCTCATGGATCTTAAAACAAGATGATGATCCAAATGCCTTTACAGATCCCAGATCTCAATCAAAAAGCATCGCTACGCTAGGAGGGCTAGACTTATTAGGGGCCCAAGCCAAATTTTTCAAAAATATTTAACCACATTTTTGCTATTATTATATATTTAAGAATTACAAATTCTTAGGTATACAATATGTAACACACTTGTTTCCATTAAATTAAGTCAAAATTGTATTTAAAAATAAGGCTTTTGCTTTCATGTTTAATTTTTTTGTTTTGTTTTGAGGGGGAGGGGGAAGGAGAGAGAAGTAATTTAGGACCCAGATAAAAATTTTGCGGTGAGGCCTATTTTTTTTCGCTACGCTACTGTCTAAAGGGTACGCGTTTGCCGACTAAATGAACATTAAACTCATTTATAGGGCGGGAGGAGGAATCACACCCCCACACCCCTCCTTCGCCCCGGCCATATATATATATAAATATATATATAAATATATATATAAATATATATATATATATATATATATATATATATATATATATATATATATATATATATATATATATATATATATATATATATATATCACAGTTAAATTTATATATATATATATATATATATATATATATATATATATATATATATATATATATATATATATATATATATATATATATATATATATATATATATTCACAGTTATAAATTATGTATTCAGAACAAATTCAAAGTAACAAATAATTATTTCAGAAAAAATTTATTGCAAATATAATCGACAGGACTTCAAGAAAATCATTCGATTTTCTGGAACCTTTATAATTTAAAAAGGAATACAATTTTAATATATAACAATTTTTATTATATTATATTTAACGGGCTTCATAATAAGATCGTATAACCTTCTGGAAGTCCTGCCGTTTATATTTATAATAAATTTGTTTTCAAATAATTTTTTTATTGAAGGCAAATTATCAACTTGACTGGTGCTAAGTTTGCCGCCGTTCCTAAACTACCGTTTATATTATCTTAGTGGTAAATACAGTCTTTTTCAAAAAAATAAATTGAAAATTATTTTTATGAAAATGTTAAATGCTTAAGAAAAAATTAATAATTTGTGTGTTTTTTGGATTTGTCACATATTTAATTTTTATGTTATTTTTGGAGCCTGTGACAAAGTCTTGGAAAGATGTTAACCAAATCGATAATTTGCATTTGCAATACAGAAATCTAAATTTTAGCAAAGACTCTGGTGATGTTTTATCTTTTGTCCATATTCAGAAAACAGGTGGTACCACAATGGAAAAACATCTTATTTTTAATATTAAAGATAGTAATTGTGTTTGTGAAAGTACTAAAAAGCCATCTTGTATGTGTTACAGAAAAGAGAAGAATGAAATTTGGCTGATTTGTCGATATATTCAACCGAAATGGCCGTGTGGATTACATCCTGATTTAGCCACAATGAAAAAGTGTGCCCCGAATTTCATGAATTCTGTATATGGAAGCCGACCAAGAAGATTTTTGTACGCTACATTACTTCGTGACCCAATTCATCGTTTTATAAGTGAGTTTCGACATATACAAAGAGGCGCATCCTGGGATTCGGCAGCTTCTCTATGTCAGGGTAAAAATCTTGCATCACAAGTGACTTCATGTTTTAAAGGTTCTTTGTGGTTAAATTTGACAATTGAGAAGTTTTTATCTTGTTCTCAAAATCTAGGATTCAATCGACAGACCTGGATGTTGTCAAATATTTCTGAGGTTAGTTGTAATCCTGCAGAAATACTCTATAATGAAAATTTAAATAATAAATTACTCTCAATTGCAAAAGAAAATCTAGTTTCAATGGCATACTTTGGCATTTTGGAATACCCTACAGAGAGTCAGTTTGTGTTTGAGAAAACATTTCGTGTTGAGTTTAAAGAACCTTTTTGGAATTGGAATACTAGCTATGCTATGGAATACCTTAAATATTTTAATATTTCATTAAAAATTCAAGAAAAAATTAATTTTGTCAATAATTTGGATATTAAACTGTATAATTTTGCTAAACAAATTTTGTTTCAGAGATACAGCTATTTTGTTGCAAAATATGGAATGCCAGCCTACAAAAATTCTTTTGTAAATGAGAGCTTTCAATTCAATCTTGTTAAAATTTTAAAGATGAAAAAAAATCTCCCAAAATCCAAAAGTAAAGAAGAACAGTTGCGTATTAAAAAGGCTCGTGCAGAATTAGGCATCATTAGTTAAATTCAATATCGTTCAATACTTTTTTTACTAATTATTTATTTAGTCAAATTTTTTTAATTTTTATTGCAATTCAAGTTTAATAATTGGAAAATAGTTGCAAAAAAAAAAAAAACTCAGTATATTTTTTTCATAAAAAATGTAATTTTTTATGAAAAAAAAACTCATTTTATTTAAGCATAAAAATCCATTTAAAACTTTATTAAATTTGAGCACACTCAAATTAAATTCATTTAAAGGCTCTGAATATAAGCAAACACTTCTTTTGACAATGTTGTACAACTGCTATAAAAAAATTAATATTGATTTTTTTTTTTATTGCAAGAGTTGGTAAAAATAAAAGAAATAAAATGAAAAGAATATTTTTTGTCAAAAAATTTTATCTTATATTTCTTATGATTTTGCATTTTAAATTGCTGTTAATGTTAAATATTTTTTGCTGAATATGTTTTGAAGTGCAATCACTTCATTTATTTATATAACTCTTATATTATATACTGGGTCGCTGTTAAAAGGATGTTTTATTGACAAATTTTTTTATGTTATATATTATTTATTTTTAAGGATTTTTTATTTTTTTGAACTGAATTATTTTATTTAAGTAATTATGGTATGAATATTTTGGTATAAAATTTTTTTACAAATATTTTTTCATATTTTTTATTTTTGATTTCATAAAATGGAAATTTTGTCATTTTAAAGGTATATCATATAACTATAAAGTGTCTAAATTTTAAAAATAAAAATGCATCTCTTTGTAATTAATCTTATTAATTTCAAACTATTTCAATATGAAAATTTAAAAGGTTAATTGTTTCAAAAATGTTTATTCATTTTCTGAATGGGACTACTGTTTTTTTTTTTATTTGATACAATCTATCAAATCTATAAAACCAAAGCATATACTTTAACAAACAAGAACACAGTTTAGTAACACAAAGTACTAGAATATGGTACTACCAGGAATGTGCTGGAATTAAAATCTATTTGTTTGCTTTTCTCCTTGTCTTGTCTTCCTCTAATTGGTACTTTTAATTTTAATAATTAACCAACAAGTAATAAATATATATATATTTTTATTATATATGATTTCACATAATAACCTCAGCAAGGTTAGTTTTTTTTTAATGATTTTATATAAGCAACCTCAGCAAGCTTAGTGGCTCCTCAGCAAGGCTGAGGGGCCACTAAGCTTAATAAAATAACTTATTTTTATTTAAAAAAAGAATAATTGTGTGCATTTTTTGTGTTTGACAGATGTGGTGAGAATTAAACTTTATGCCTCTATAAAATAAATGCTATGTTAAAGTAAAGGATTTTAATTGATTGATTTAAAAAATGTTTCCAAACAATCTTACCGAGATACCTTGGTAAGATTATTTGGAAAGTTAAAATATTGTTTATTAAAATATTTTGGTTGATTGTAAGAAGATTGTATTTGTTTAGTTGAAAATCTAAAAGTTTCTATATGACTGATTAAAAGGATTTTTTATAAAAGTAAAATTTTATAACTAATTAATGATAAAAAAAACATGATCAAAACATTTTGAGGTTTTTTACCATGTAAAATATTTTGTAATGTGATTTTTAAATCCCAAATAAGTTTTGACAGCATAGTGTTTTTTGAGTATTTTTTATGTTTAAAAGATTGTTTGTGGTTGGCACAAAGCTTTTTCCATTTATTTTTGGTTAATCAGATATACTGTTTATCAGGGTTATTTTGTTAGGAAACAATTTATTAATATAAAATTTTTGATAAGCATTTTCTATTCATTGGGCAATCATTTTTATTTTGCAATTACAATTGATATTTTTTTTTTAGACATTTAATTTTATTAATTAATGCTGTGTTGTGGTCTTAAATAATTCTTTCTATTTTTTTTTTTATACACCTATAACTTAAATAGTATTTCTATTAAAAAATTTTGTGCAATTTATTAGAGGGAAGGAAATCTTTGTCTATTAATTTTTAAAAAAGTTTTTCCTTATATTTGTTAAAACATTTTAGCTGTACAAAGGATTGAACCTAACTATGTTTCTATTTTGCAGTGAAATAGAATTAGAACACTCTTCTTAAACAATGAATAGATATCTAATAGAAAATATTTTTATATTTTTGATGTATTTTGAGTTTAGCATAAAATAAGTTTTTTAACATAAAAGTTATAAAATATATGTTTAATAAAGATTTTAAAGAATCAAGAAATAAAAATAAATACAACAATGATGATTGAGTAACAAAGTTGTTTATATAAATGGTTGAAAAGCATGCTATAATTAAAAATATTAAAGATATACTTACTTGTGCTCAAGATCTAAATCACAGACCGGTTAGAAGTTGGGGAAAGTATGCTTGAGTTTTAAAACTCAAGTTGTTATTTATTTATGTTGTTTTTTATTGGTCTGGTTTTTACATTTCTTTTTATTGGTCTGGTTTTTATGTTGTTATTTTTTTATGACTATTGCTAATTGCATATTTTTTAGGCTTGAGTCATTTGATCCAGAAAAAAATAAAGCCATAATTTCATACAAAGGAAGTAGCCTTGTATTATCACTTTCCTTTGTTGTATGCTTTGATGCAAGAATAAATGATAACATACAAGTTATAGGGGATTTCAATGATGGTGTATTAGCTGTGAGGTCTTTTAAAGTTATCAATAATTTGAACCTAGCCTTGTTTGAGCATGTTTTAAATCAGAGAGAAGAATTCTTAAGGTATTTATATTTTTAAATAGGTTTTAATTCATAATTTATTTTTTACTGTATTAAAAAAAAACTCCTGTATAATGTTTTCTTTTAAAGAAATCTGATGGTATGACTTTGAAAATGAATAAACATTTTACAGAACACAAACGCTTGCACTCTAAAAATTTTAAAGATGTTCAAAGCATGCCAAATTACTCGGAACATAAATACTTAGATTTTAACAGCCATCTTGCTAATTCTTATGAATATTTTACACATAAAGGATCTGCAGAGGTTTTTAGTTTATATATATTTTATTTATTTATTATAATTAATTTCAATTTCAATAAGTAGTTCAAATTTGCAGTAACAAATATGCACACACAAGCAAACATACAAACACATCCTAATATATATATATATATATATATATATATATATATATATATATATATATATATATATATATATATATATATATATATATATATATATATATATATATATATATATATATATATATATATATATATATATATATATATATATATATATATAAGCCCTCAGAATTAGGGTCAGCATTCAGCAATACCAACCTAACCTAGAAGAGTTTTAGCTAGGCAAAAAATCAACAACCTCGTTTCTATATTTTATGGTAAAACCTGTGTATTATATTTTTTTGCCAACCTCAGATTAAGGTTGGCAAAATTTCTCTTCTGTAAATACCATAATGGCTGCTGCTCTAAAGCTAGTGTCTCTTGTGCCATCTAATAAAATTCATTTTCATGTTACCCGACATTTAGTTAAGTTTTATCCTTTTTATTGTAACTTTTTCTAAGTGCTCCAAAAATTCTTAATTGTCTAATTTTTTTCCTCGAACATCAATTCTTTAGAATTTGCTCATTTCATCTTGTTAATCTGATTCATATAATTTACAATCTTTTAAGTTGTCTGTTTATTATTATCTTGTTTTATAAACTTTATCTTTTTTCTTCCAGTAACGTCCAACTCGATGTTGCTTGCAGGTTTGTTGCAGCCTTGTTGGAAGTAAAGATGTTTAAAAAAAAAAAATTATATATATAAATAAAATAAAAAAGATTTTTGATGTTGTTCAAAAAAGAAACATTAAAATGTTAGCATTTAAAGAAAAGGTCATTTGCAAATTTAGTGACTGTTGTCAAATTTGACTAGATTAGCAAATTGGACTGAGAGAGATTATTATCTCTATTTATTTTTGAAACAAAAGCTATGGAATTCACAGAGAAAATAAATATTGAGAAAATAATAAATATATAAATATTATATGGAATTCACAGAGAAAATAAAAGTTTTAATTCTTCAGATGGTTGGTTAGACCATTGGTCTAACGAAATATCATTCAAAACAGTTTTACTACTATGTTACTAACCATTTTATCAAAATATAAGCTAGATTTATAATGCTGACAAATTGTTTTATCAGCTTCAACCAAATAATTCTATGCATCTTTAAAAAGGAAAATGTGTTGATGAGAAACACAGCAAGTTTTTATATATCTGACAGGTTTGGCATCTGCTAATCCAGTTGAGGAAAAGTTGCTAATGCTTTTCATTTGCTAAACCAAATCACCTAGATGCCCAAATAGGTAAAGTACTTGCCTTATCGTTAGAGTTGCAAAAAACGCACTTTTTTCCTTTGGTGTTTTTTTAGGTCAAAAAAATATGTTTTTTTGTTTTTGTTTTTTGGAGTTTTTTTGTTTTTTTTGGTGTTGTATTGCTTTTTTTACAATTTTTTGTTTTTTTTGGCATAAATTTTGGAATAGTTTTCCTTTATTCTAGTATAATTTTAGTATTTTGCCATTAAAGGCACAATTAGATGTATAAACACCAATTTAGCATAAAGTTTTTTATAAAAAATTTAAATTAGCTTTTAGTTAGTTATATATCTAGACATACTGGATGAAAATCTTTATTTTTTGCTTTGCTGTACTAACAACTGTGATACTCTCATTATATATAGAAACTTTTCTTATCCTATAAAAAAGTTATCATTTTAATTTTGATAATGTAAATATATAAATATATAATACCATGCAAATTTAATATCAGGCTTCGAATGCTCAAAAAATAAGCAATCTATCAAGATTGTTTACTTAATTAAGCATTTGTATATTATGTAGTAATTAAGTCTTACATTTTTTGTTGTTCTATAAAAAAATATATTGCTAGTATGCCCTTATTAAAAATAAAGCCCTATACTAAACTTAATTTTAAGAATTGAAAAATTTTTTAAAAAAAAGAGTTTCCCAGACCCCATTCACCTTATGATTCTTAACTTTTTATTTGTACTTTATTTTTTAACAGCATTTTTTTTTCTAATTACATTATTTATTAATCTAAATATTTTCATATAGCACTTTATCAGAACACTTGTAAAATTCTTTAATATGCTCTGTTTTTTAAGTTCAATTTTTAGACATAATCTTATGACAAAAGGATCGTTTATCTTTTTCCATTTTACTAATTTGGTTCAGAGGTTTAAATAAATGGGTGACTAAGTTTTATTTCTGCCCCCTGTATGGAGAGCCTAATCTTTCTCCCTTTATGGAGAGCCTATTCTTTTTGTTCTTCTTGTTGATTATTAACAAGAAGAACAAAAAAAAAATTCACTCAATAATTTAAAGATGTCTTTTCTCTTTATATATATATATATATATATATATATATATATATATATATATATATATATATATATATATATATATATATATATATATATACAAATAGTATTGCGTACTAAGGTAAGCAATCTGACGTCATACGGAAATAGCCTGCTGCTCGGGGCTTCAGTACATACATCAACTGACAAATAGCCTGACTTGCAGTGGAGTGCTGCTACATTGACTGAGGGTTTGGGATGGGGCAGCAATCGTTTCATTAATCACTCTTCCTTTTTTTTTTTCTAAAAAAGCCGTACGGGTTAAGGTAAGCAAAAAAAGTGAGCAAATGCTTATAAAAATACGCTTTAGTAAGTGTATATATATATATATATATATATATATATATATATATATATATATATATATATATATATATATATATATATATATATATATATATATATATGTATATATATATAGATATATATATATATATATATATATATATTATGGTGCTTTAAAAATCACTATTCAGTGTTGTTAATGTGGTGTGGTTATCTTGTTTTAATCTATTTTTAGATTCTACTTCAGAAAAGAAATTAAATTTCTTTTCATTTGAGTAATAAGTTGACCTTTTATATAAACATTTAAGTGACCATTTAAACAATATTAGGGACCTGTTGAATAGAAAATGAGCTTAATATGAACTAAATATTGGACAATTAAACTTAAATTAGACTTGAAACTTCATATTGTGTATCTGGGATTATCAAATTATTTCTTTCTAATTGCTTTATTAAAATCATCATCAAAGGCCTACTTATTTATTTCCAGTAATTTCTGGGGTATCTCAAGGTTCTATTCTTGGTCCTGTTTTGTTTCTTATCTACATTATTGATCTTCCCGACAACCCTGCATCTATAGTAGCTCTTTTTGCTGATGACTCAAGTTTTTACTCCTGTCTTGACAAAAAGTCTTCTCTTTTTGATTGCTTAAAATAGGCAGCCAAATTCGAATCTGATCTTACTTCGGTAACAATTTGGGGCTCACATATTTTGGCTTATAAGTTTTAACTCCAACAAAACTCAGTTATTTACTGCAAACAACTACCACAATACTGTCAACATTCCTATATTAATAAATGGCAACCCTCTTTCTGAGTCCTCTTTTTTACATCTTCTTGGATTATCATTTACTACTGACCTTTCATGTAAACAAAATATACAATCCATTTCTAAATTAGCATCTCTTTATCATTATCTTCATTTTCTTAACCTTGATTCTATTCTCTACCTCTACGAATATTTTTTGTCCCTGTATAGAATTTTGTTGTCATATTTGGGCTGTTTCTTCTTATGATGCCCTTTTTCTTCTAAACAAGCCCTATCTGTTAAGCTTGAGCCTATTTCCCATTGTCGTAAAGTTGCATCTCTTTTTGTTTTCTACAAATTCTATCATGGTCGCTGCTCAAAAGAGTTATCATCTCTAGTTCCATTAACAAAACTCATTCTCGCTTGACTCTTATTATGCTAAGTCTCATTCATTAGTTGTTAAATTTTATTAAATATAATAAATGTAAATAAACAATGTTTGTTGTGTCAATATACACTAAAATGAATAAAGATAAAATTGAGGAAGATAAAAATATCAATGAAGTTTTTATACAGGACTGCTTCAACCATGTTAACCTTTAAGCATATCAAAACAAAAATAAGTTCAGTAAATTTCAGTATTTATTGTCTTACTTAAAATCAGAAATTAAAATATGAACTAAGGTATTGCCATTAAAGGTTAATTAAGTAGCTTAAACAATGAATTTTTGAATATTTCCCAAAAAAGCAGACCTCTGCGTTTTTTTTTCAAAAAAACAACAAAAAAAGCAAAAAAACGTGTCACATCTGTACTCATCATTATTGCAGTGAAAAAAAGAGCTGATGGATGGCACACTATTCGTAGGTTTCTGAAATTAGTAGGCAGTATACAAAAGAAGAAACTTGTTTTTATAGTTGATAGTAATCCAGCCAATCACCACCAAAAGGGCAATCTTATAGTTTTAATCTTTTAAACCTCCAAACACTACCTCAATGCTGATGGACCATGGCATGATTAGGTCACTTGAAACCCATTATTGATTAATGCAATAAAAATTTTTTTCATGAATTCTCTGTTGGGTGCCATGCAAATGCTTTATAATGCTTAGGGAAGCTAAAAGCTGAAACTATTTGCAATTAAGTCAATGACTACGTTCTCAGCCACACATTCTTTACATATTATAAATTGAAAATGGTTAACTGAAGACTTAAAAAGTTGGAGGTTGTATGAATCATGAAAACATGAAGATATGTGAGAATTTTAAGATTTTGTTGATGTGTGAGGATAACTAGATCAAATTTATTATAACATGAAGAGAAGTGAAAGGATGCGACTTTGTTGATTTTTAAAATGAGTTTTGATTAATTGAACTAGAGATGATAGCTCGTTTAAGCAGTAACCATTATAGTATTTGTAGAAAAAAATTTTTGATCGCTTCTTCTATGCGATCGAAATTTCAAGACAAGAGTATAAAGTTGAGTTGTCACCAAATAGAGTCACTTTAGATGAATTATTGTCAGGAAGATTATTATTGTAGATAAGAAACAATACAGGAGCAAAGATAGAACCTTGCAGTACTTCTAAAGTTACTGGAAATTAAGAAGAGACCTTTAAGAATAACTTTGACAAATGAAAATGAATCTGCAGTTAGAAAGAAATGATTTAATAATTTTAAAACTTTATATGAAAAAAGTTAAAGAGTTCAGAGTTTCTAGAGTTTTGAAATATTCACTTATGTAGTCCTTAATAATAGTTTAGCAAGGATTAAAAAGAATTATAGAAAACATTTTTGTAATACTATGATAAAAATGTTGTCTGAATCATAATCCGTAAAAGAAATTGAGACCTGACTTTAGCATTGGAAGTCAAAGTCATTTAAATGTCTAACAAATAGTTAAGCTGTTTAGTTGGAATGGCAGGAAGAGTATAGCCATTTAATTCAAAAGTCAAATTAGAGGTAAAGTTCTGTGCAAATAACTATGCCTTATTCTGGGCAAAATCGATCAGACACATGAATTAGAGATGAAATGTTAGACTTACTTAGTTAATGACACTTAAAGATTTTCCAAAGTCTCTGGAAAACCGTTAACAGTAAGAGAAGATACAAAATTTAGTAAACTGAAAATAATGAAGCTTAGTATCAGACAGGACCTTTTTTCATTAATTTCTTGCATTAATAAAAAGACAATTTTTTTCAATAGAGATGTTCTTGTATAAAAAGACAAAAAAGGTTATAACAGTTTAATATAGCATCGAGTAGAATGAGATTTGATTTAAAACCAAAGAGAAGGATTAAAAGTTTTCATACCTGCTTGGATTCAGGAGGCTAGGTCAGAGGTGCATATATGCATACATAATAATAATTTCAATCACGAAAATTATACTTGAGGATATACCAAATATTTATGCAGCCCCAGTCACAAACCCCCAGTCACATTACTGACCCAATAATGAATAATGATAAAACTATATCAGACATGTTAAAAAAAAACATTTGAAACTGAAAGCCTATGAGTAGAAAAGTCAAGTGTTAATTGTCTTAGGCAGAAAATAATAAAATACAAGTTAACATCTATACCAACTATTTAGATGAAGTTAGTGTGTGACACTGGTTAAAGTTAGGGTGTGAGGCTAGTCAACATAAATTTTTGGCTTATTTCTATTGCCTTCTGGAAAACATAAAAAAAAATTGTTATATTTATGTTCTCTTGTCATTTTCAATAGATAATAAAACAATTTTTATTAAAACGTTACAATAAATATTAAAATCTATATTTTAGAATATATTTAAACCAATTGTTTTTTCAGTTTATATAATATTTAAGAATGAATAAAATACAATTAAATTGTACTTCATATTTTTTTAATGAACAATAAAAAGTTTGTGTTATAAAAAAAAAATTGATTTGTTATATTTATAATAATTAGCACAAATGTTGATATTCGGCAATAACTGGGTTATATTGAATAATTGTTGATGTTGTATTTTAGCTCAAAGCATCAATAGAGAGTGAACGGTGTAACAGTTTGCATTTACTCAAGAAAAAAAAACTGAAAGCATTTCAAAATGATGTTTCCAAAAGAGTTTCATATTTACAAAATTTAAAAAACATTGAAAAAAGTCGTAAACCGGTAATTTTCATAAATATACTAGTTACTATTTTTTGATAATAATGATGATGATGATGATGATGATGATGATGATGATGATGATGATGATGATGATGATGATGATGATAATGATGATAATGATGATGATGATGATGATGATGATGATGATGATGATGATGATGATGATGATGATGATGATGATGATGATGATGATGATGATGATGATGATGATGATGATGATGATGATGATGATGATGATGATGATAATTTTCCACTCCAGATTGAAACTGTTACAGCTGGAATGGAATAGGAATAATAAATAATAAGCCTTATTTTGATGCAGAAAATTCAGTTTCTTCACCAAAATAACCTAATGGACTGTCCCCTACCAGCTTATGCTGAAAAGTGCACACAAAGTAATTTTTTTGAAGAGAAAAAAACTGAGTCAATGGAATCTAATGAGAAGCTTATGAAACTGCAAAACAAGGTATGCATTTTTCTTTTCTAATTTAAAATTCCAATGAAAACTTAAAGTTATGTAAATATCTTATTTTTAAAAAGCAAAAAAGAAATTCTGTTTTTTTTTTTTTGTTTTTTTTAAATTATTTTCATTAATATCATTTTTTGTGTTATAATTATATATTAAAAATATATTTAAATGTAGTATGTAAAAAATAAAAAAAATAAAAAAAAATTAAAAACTTGCTTATCTTCATATTTATAAACTTATGTTATGTCAACAATTTTGTTTTTAAAATTGTTATTTCATCATTTTATTTTCAGATAAATTATAAACCTCTGTTGTTTCTAATGTTCTGTTTTTTATATAAAGTTTTGATTTAGCAAATATTTCGAAAATAATAAAAAAAACTAATAATAATTAGTGTAATATAACATAATATTTACATAAATATTTTGAATTTTTTTTTTTAAATTTTGAATTATTTTTGTTTGTTAAAAATTTTTTTGTTACTGTTGTATAAATTATTAAATATAGATATTTAACATAACAATCAAATTTTATATAGGTTGCCATAGAAACAAGAGATGCAAAAAGAAAACTCTACTCTAAAAAAAGAAAGGACTTTATAGTTAGTATTTTTTTGTGTGTATGTTTGTATGTGTGCGTGTGTGTGTGTATGTTTGTGTTTATGTGTATATGTGTGTTAAGGTTTATATTAAACTTTAAGTTTCAATCTGTTTAGTTTTTAATTCTTTTTTCTTTAATTGTAGAATTGTCTTCCTGGAGGCTTATGGGATGCTACTGATAATAAACAAGTTTGAATAATTTTTTTAATATAAAAACATATTTAAAATCTAAAATAGATAAATTATTAGTTCAGCTTTGAAGCAACTGCACCTGTGAAATTCAGCAACATCCAGTCCAAGTAATTTGCAAGTTGAAAAACTCAAAACATCTATACACATATCTTTGCATTATTGTGATGCTTACTTTTCAAAATAGAAGTTTTGAAAAGTAAGCATTTCATAAGCATTTTAAAAGATTTTATAACATTTTATTTACATTATGATGAATGTTATACATATATCAACATGTTGTAATACTACTAAAGTGTAACTATCAGTATGTTGTGATCTTTTTCTACTAAGCCAAAAAAATATTTAGAGGTAAAAATATTCTAATTTATTTCCTTTATTTTTTGCCATTTACTGTTAAATATAAAACTAGTAATAATAGTTTGAGACTTAAAATATATGTTCAAAAAATTAGATATTTAAAGAAATTTCTTTAAATATCTAATTTTTTAATTAATTTTATCTAATATAATAAACATTTTCCTATTTAAAAGAATAAAAAACATTCCAAAAAAAACTAACCAAACTGTAAAAAAACCCTAAAAATATTTGGATTGTCAAAAAATATATATATATATGTCTTGAAAAATGATCAGAACGAATCTGGTAACCGTGTTCTCACAGCTAACTGATCCTATAAAGCCATCTAATCAAGTCCCCTTGCAACAAATGGATAAAAATATTTGTTGCAACGGCACTTTATTAGATGTCTTCTTTTTTCATAAATCCTCTCTCTCAAAATTTCAGAAAAATTATTATCTGTGGTATTGATTTTATTTATTAAAGAATTAAAAGAAAACCCTCTGAAAAGGAAGAAAAAAGTGTTACAAGGATAAAATTGACTAAAAAACTCGAAAATATTTTAAGATGAAAAAATAATTTCCTTTTTAATTTTAGATTTTTATTATTAATTATTAATTAAATATTATTAAATAATAATTATTAATTATATTATTAAATATTACTATTAATTTTTTTTTACAAATTTTTTTTTCTCTTCATAAATGAAAAAAGAATACTTTGACTTTTTTGTGTAATCCTTATACTACAAGTTATAAAATAATTTATATTCAAGTTACTCTAATGTATAATTTTTATTTAAGTATGTGCTTAGTTATAAAATGGAATGTTGTACTAATGTTTCAAAGACAAAGAAGTTGTAAGTTACTAAGATGAAGCGTCGCAAATGAAAAAATATAAATAAATAAATAAATAATAAATACATGGGTTTACCCACAGCTACTGTGTTTTGCCCAAATAAAGGGTAAGCTGGCAAAACACTTGCTCAGCTGTGCAATAAAATTATTATATTACTTTATAATTTTTAATATTCTAGAGTTTTCTGGTGGAATAGTTCGCTATTCACCATTAAATATGATTTTAGTTTTTTTTTATAAATAGATGTGTTTTGTTCATCTCGAATGATACTTGGAAGAATATTCCAAAGTCTAGGACCATAGTGGGATACCGCCCGATCACCAAAACGATTACTGGATTTTGTTTCTTTTAATTTCAGAGTTCTCTCTGATGTTGAGAAGTGAATCAAATTACACAATGATGCTGGCGCTTCCTGGATAATAGACTTGTGCATTATTAATAAAACCTTAAAATAAATACATTCTCTAATTTTAAGCCAATGCAAGTTGATAAATACCTGGTCATTTATTTTATTTTCTATTCTGGTTTTAAATACTAGTCTTGCTGCTCAATTTTGAACAGACTGCAGTTTTTTTAATAGTGACCTTTCAATTCCAAAGTAGAGGGAGTTGCAATAATCTAGCTGTGAAAAAATTAATGAATATACTATGGTGCACAAATCTTTATGCGATAAGAATTGTTTTATTTTGGATATTTTGCTGATTATATTGTAACAACTTTTCACAATCTTATTTATCTGTGTTTTCAAAGACAGTTCATTGTCAAGTATCACACCCAAACTTTTTGTGGAGTCAACAAATCTAATGCATTCCTTGTTAACAAAAGTACCTTAAATAATAATATCTTTTTGAATGTTAGGTGGTGCCATAATTAGTATTTTTGTTTTCGATTGGTTAATGCATAAGAATGATTCGCTCATCCATTTAGATATGTGTCCAAGACACATATATCCAGAACTAATGCATTATATATCCAGAACTAATGCATTATATATCCAGAACTAATGCATTATATTGCGAAGAAGGAAGGAATGCTTTGAGAGTTTGATGATCATCTGAGTATCCAAAAGTTTTAACATTGATTATGCTCAGATGTTTGTACAGTGGTTCATATAGATATTAAATAGTTTGGTATATATATGAACTGCAAATCAAAAAGAAAACTTTTTTCTTCAAAAACCCTGCATAATTATAAATTACAAAATGGTGAACAAATTATAGTTTACTAATGGTTCCATGTCAAATGATCAAGAAAAGCTAAAAAATGACCATTGGTCTCAATTTTATAAAAAAAATCCCAGATTTTGCTGGGATTTTTTTTGTAAAATTAAGAGGTCTCGTTTAAAAAAATATTCCATGCAAATTTCAACCTTCAATGTTCCTGAGACAGTCAATTAGAATTAAATAGAAAAAAGAAAAAAACTTAAAAAAGAAATCTTGGATCTATTTACTAAAAAGGTTTTATGTATGTATATATATGTGTATATATATATATATATATATATATATATATATATATATATATATATATATATATATATATATATGTGTGTGTGTGTGTGTATATATATATATATATATATATATATATATATATATATATATATATATATATATATATATATATATATATATATATATATATATATATATATATATGTATATATATGTGTGTGTGTGTATATATATATATATATATATATATATATATATATATATATATATATATACACACACACATATATATACATATATATATATATATATATATATATATATATATATATATATATATATATATATATATATATATATATATATATATATACACATGTACATATAATTTTGATGCTCACAAAAACCTATTTGGTCTTGATATTAAATAAAGATTTTCCACAGATCATTTTAAATTCAATAATATATTATTAAACATTAGGATGTACATTGCAAATGTACAATTAAGCCATTGTATAAACACAAATTTATCTTTTACATAAGTTGTATAAAGTAATACTAAGATTGCCATTATAATTATTTCCTTTATAAATAAAAAAACAATATCTGAGTATATTAAAGTTTTTTATTAATTTTAACATGGCTGTTTAAGTGTAATCAATTTACTAATGTTAACAATTTATAAGTATTAATACTAATCACAATTTGTAATAACACCATAACAATAATGAACTTCTGATATATGATAAATTTCTCTGTCATGCATTATTATTTATTAAAATTGTCAAGCATTATTGTCATGCATTATTATTTATTAAAAATTGTCATGCATTATTGTCATGCATTATTATTTATTAAAAATTAAAAAAAAATGGTTTTTACATTTTATTTAATTCTAATACCTATTGTTTGAATCCAAATTTTTATTTTAGTTGAAGAAATTTTGCTTTGATAAGTTATCTGTAAATAGATTTGGATTAATGAATGCTGCAAATAAATTTGTATTTAAATAAACTTTTTTAGGTTGAAGAAAATTTTAATAATGTAAAAAACTCTTCAAAACAAAATCTCTCAGATGGAGAACCACCTGATACATGCCATGGTGAAAATAAAATTTCAGAAGATGACGAAATAATTCTAGAAGATATAAGTTTTGATCGCGAAAGTTTAGTTTCAACAACTGAGGTGAGATTAGCGAAACAAACAAGTTCTTCAAATTGTTTTTCCGAAATGAAAGTTCCAGAAAGTTCTTCTTCTTCTACTTCTTCTGATGCTCAAATTATTCAGATTGAAAATATTCATCAAGGTAATATGTTTATTGCATCACTGAATGATAATTATTATTTGTTGTTTTTTTAGTTTGCTAATGGTAACAATTTTAAAAAAAGGTCATGGTATACATATATTTGATTTATTTCAAGCAAATTTAATAAACAAAATTACCAAGTGTTTTTCATTGAAATTACCAAGTTTAAAATCGTAAAATTGCAGTGGTTTTAATTTCTTTTTGGAAAAAAAAACAAAAATTGTAAATTTTTTTAAATATTTTTATAATGACAAATATCTTTCTGCAATTTCTTCCCTCAACCTCCTCCCGCATTTAAAAAAAATGATTGTCAATAAAATAGCATTGTAATTATTTCTTTACTTGGAGTTTTTATTTTTTGTATCTGAAAAAATAATGACAAGGATTATACAAATCTTAATTGGTCTTGAAATACATATATTTGATTTATATCAAGAAAATTTGATATACATATATTTGATATAAATGTTAGTCTTATTTATTTCAGTAACACTCTTTCTTTTGTTTACTGTTATCTTTCTTTTGTTTAAGTTATCAGATCCGATTGAACTGTTTGATTCAAATTTTACTAGATTGAGAAAAAAAAAGTCTAGGTCAGGGTATACTTTTTAGAATCAAACTGAATTCTTAAGTAAGAAATATTTCATATACAATAAAGTTGTTTTGAATCCAATCTTGAAAAATTTGTTTACTATATTTTATGTGTGAGTTTATTCCTAAAGCTGTTTTGAATTACAAATTTCTGTCCTTTAGGCTTATGTCACAAATCTACACGATATTCACACTTAAGATGATTGTGATCATCTTAGCTATCTTCATATTATCTGTTTATCTTCATTCTATCTGTTTATCTTCATACTATCTGTTTATCTTCATACTATCTGTTTATCTTCATACTATCTGTTTCAGATAAATATTAAGACAATTATTTCTCTCATTTGTTCCAAACATTTTTCTCTTTTTCAAAAATTCAGTTAATTGTAAAACATTTGCAAGAAAATAGTTGGTCTAAATATTTACTTTATTAATTAGTTAATAGCTAATGATTGCAGCTGCATGTATTTTTAAATGCAACATTTGAGGTTATGAATAATGCAATTTTAAGATGAGAAATAGTAATTTATGTGGAAAAAGTAAAAACAAAATGCTGAAGTTTTAACTAAAACTAAAGTTTTTCAAATTTTTTTAAATTTTTATTAGAAGATTTTCATAGACAAATTTTGAGATAACTGAAAAGAGTGAAAGTTTACAACTTCAAGTTTTGCAGTTCATCATTAAGTATGTCTATATTTATTTGAACCAGGCTTGTCGAGAATTAATGTTGAATCCAAAAAAAAATTTTTGGTAGTAGGACAAAAAAAATGGTTATTAACAATGCTTATTACATAGTTAATTCAAATAATTACTTTTTTGACCAGTGACTGTCAAGAAACTTGCAATAAAAAAAAATTACATTGAAATTTTTTTCAAAAATTGCATTTTCTTTTAATAATTTTAACAAAATATTTCTTTTAATAATATTAAATTTCTTTAAATTTTATTTAATCATTTAACATTATTACAGATATTGATGAAAAAACACCTAATTTGAATCATATTTTTTAAACTAGTATAACATTTCATGCTTGATATACGTGTACACATGCTAAAAATAAAGTTAATGTTAAAAAGATAGAGCACACTATCTTTGCATGTACAATACCATTTTTTTTCCTTCTGTTAGTTTAAGGCTCGAATCATATTCTATCCAACAGTCATGAGTTGGTATACTAGCATACTGTAGTTTTAGTTTCAGATAAATAATCTATTTATATAAAGTTTTATTGTTTTTCAAAATTCTATGATTTATAAATAAAATAAAACTCTTTCTTTTTCATTAAGCTCAAGAAAGTTTCTGTTTTCATAAAGTTGTTCATGTTGTTCTAGCTTGCCTAATTTGATAAATATCAAATTTTAGAGACAAAACAAGAAAATATATGTTAATTTGATCAAATTTTTTGTTTTTTTTTTAAATTCTCTTGCTAAACTCAGAGATACATTCTTTTGCAAATGTGTTAATTTTTCGAGTAATATATTTTTATTTTATCAGTGTTTTTATTTCATAAAAAGAAATCTTTATTATCAGTATTTGCAATTGTTGGGCAAAAATTTATTAATACATGTTTAATAAATAATGCATATTTTAAAAAATCATCTTGTAGAATCTTGCTATTCTTCTTTTTTCAGGTTCTATAACCCATTTAACTTTAGTTACAAATTTCGATATATTTGTTTCTAATATAGTATGTTGACTTTTTTTTTATCTTGATGAAAGCTGATATGTTTTTTATTTTTTATCTTGATGAAAGCGAATATGTATTTATTTTTTTATCTTGATAAAAGCTGGTATGTTTTTTTATTATTATTTTTTTGTTTTGTTTTGCTGAAAGCTGATATTTATTTTAATGATCTTAAAATAAATATCAGCTTTTCTTTTTCTCTAGTGCTATTAGTACAATGATTTTTTTTATGCTCATTAAACAATAGAAATATTTGTATAGAGTTTTTATGGATATAGAATGATATTAGGACAACAATCACTTCAATGTAATCTGAGTAAAAAAAAAAAAAAAATATATATATATATATATATATATATATATATATATATATTCATATGTTGCTTGGTTACTTCAAATAAAATATCATTTTAGTATTGGAATCATTGTTATATCCATTAAGTATATATCTATTATATCAATTATGTTGCCATCATAAACCATATATTATATGGCTATAGTAAATTTTATTAGATTTTTATGCTTGATTGCAAATGTACGCAAAAAGGTTTTAGAAAATTTAAGCTCCAGATTTCTATATTTACATGTAAGAAGCATTCAAGATTCTTACCTACAATAGATAAAAGTGTTTTTGCTGTATGATAATCTATATTTGTTGTCTACTGATTGCATTTGCATTAAGATTTTGTGCTACATAGTTGTCTATCAACACCATTTGTACAAAAATTGCTATTTTCTTCACTTAATATACAGATGTAATATTATAAGTTTCCTGATTGAATTAAAGATATTCACAGATTAAATAGTGTCATATAAAAGATACAAAGTTTTTAATAGATAATTTACCAGTATTTTTTTAATCATGAAATTCTAGAACTAGCCTAACAAGTTACTGTATTGTTGCTGTAGTTACTGTATCGTTGCTGTAGTTACTGTATTGTTGATTTAGTTACTGTATTGTTAATGTATATATTGTATTGTTGCTGTAGTTACTGTATTGCTGGGCCAGTTTAAACATTGATGTTAAGTTTTATTATTAAAATCCAAAATACATTAGGAAACAGTCAATAGTTATTTCTAATGTCTTCAACTTATCAAGTTGCTCTAATGTAAGGTCATAAGTATATATCATTGTTTAGAAGTTGCATTATCAAAATCCAAAATAATATACAAACATGAAAAAATAATGTTAAAATTGGATTGACAACGAAACACTTTTTTTTTTTAAATGAAAAACTGCTAAGATCCTCTGTAAAACCTTTTTTTTTTAATTTTATAAAAATATTTTTGTACTTATAAAGCATTTTTAATCACTTTTTAAATGCAATTAAATAAGAGTCAAATACATAAAAAAATAGATATTAGTAACTTTGGCTAGTAACCTCTGATAGTTTAATTGATATATTTGAGGCAGAGTAAAGTTATGTTATTTATTAATTGAAATAATTTAACATGAAAATAAATTATCATCTATTTGTTGTCTAAAATGAATTTAGCTTTTTTGCTAGATATACCAGGATAATAAACTGTTGTTAGAGTCTTTCCATCACTAAAACCTTGCCTATTTTTTGGGGGCACAAACTATTTCCATAAAAAATAAAAAGCTGTCTAATTTAGAAGCATTTGTTTCTACAGATTTTTCTGAATAAACATTCAGGTTTGATAGGCCTAAAATTAGAGCAGGTGAAGCTTCTTAGTCATGATGAAGGCAACTTACAGACAATAAGAAAACTCTGATAGAAAAAGGCGTGAGTATAGGAAGGAACTTGTAATCCTTGGATGGTAATTCTCCTAGGGTTAGTTTCAGAAAGAAAAAAATTTAGTTTGATCTGATCTTTCAACATCTAGTGATAATGAAATATTTTTTTATTCTGGGCTACCATCCTTTCTGGTGATAATGAAATATTTTTTTATTCTGGGACCCAGATCTTTTAAGTTGTGCACAAATTTGGAGTCAAAGTATGAATCTAATTTTTTTTGTTTTTGATCATTTTATTGAAATCCAAAGGTTTTGTTTGCAATGCATTAAAATCATTTTTAAAAGCTGCATCAAGTTGTGCAGGGGACGCTTGGAAACAAAAGCAGTTTTTCTTAACATATCTGATATTTTAAGGTAATATCTCCTCACTATTTAAAAGTATAAAGAAGTTTTAAACACTATGTCTAGTTAGTCCTACTTAACATTCTACTAAATTTAATATTATATTAAAACCTGATCTCATTCTTCAAACAAAGTAACTAGTTACTGTGGTAATGTTCAAAAATAAATTATATCCAATGAAAAACAAAGCAACTTGTGGCCTTGTTTAAAATATTTTTTTATAGGTCATGCATATTATTTGGTTTATAAATGATCAAAATTTTACAAAATAGTGTCTTAAAATGATTTTTTTTTTTAGATAATTTGATGATAAGTGACCTTCATAAAAAAGTAGCTCTTACACTTAACTGTGATGACTTAGAGAAAAGAGATGAACAGGTTATTTATTTTTAAAATTATATATATATATATATATATATATATATATATATATATATATATATATATATATATATATATATATATATATATATATATATATATATATATATATATATACATTATACATGCATACACACATACATACATACATACATACATACAGACAGACAGACAGACAGACAGACATACAGACATACAGACATACAGACATACAGACATACATACATACATACATACATACAGACATACATACATACATACATACATACATACATACATACATACATACGTTTGTATGTATGTATGTATGTATGTATGTATGTATGTATGTATGTATGTATGTATAATGTATGTTTGTAAACATAAGTTTAAAATAACAGCTATAATGCTAACATTTTTTTCAGAAACAGAAGGAAAATATGTTTTTCCCATCAACATGCATTTATTATTTGCAATTTATTTATAGTTGACATTTTTACATACAAGTTAAGTATCTCTATATTAGGCTAATTAAGTCAACTCAAACAATTATAAAGAGTTCAAGAAAAATACTTAATAAATCAATAGTAAAAATCAAAAATAACGAGTTATTTAAAACTTGCATAAATTAAACATGCAACTGTATAAATCCAATGTCTTTGACATAGGTCATGCATAATTTGCAGGGACAGTGTTTTGGAATCCAATTTTTGTTTTTTAATTTAAATTCTTTGAGAGTTAATTCTGATTTGCAACTCATTGGTACCGAATTCCAAATTGATGATTCCAAATCCGAAAGCGACTCTAGACCATATTTTATAGATTGTATATTGTTATATGCAAATTTATCCCCTTTTAGAAAAGTATTGCGAAAACAAAAAATCTCTTCCATCGATTTAGGGGCAAGCCCCAATTTACTTTAAAAATTTCCGTAACCAATACGTGTATTAATAACTGTAACCAATATAATAATAATTCTATAACCATTACATGCATTACTAAACATAATTTATGCTGTCCAAAATATTTGAATTAAATGTTAACTATCTATATATTTTATAAATTAAAACATTTTTTTTCTTCTAAAATTTTAATAAAGTATAATTAGTTATTTGTGACAGTTTACCAATACTTATAAGTTTCTAACATAGTGGCAGATGTTAAATTATCTACTTGTGAAGTTTGCTTGATATATAAAGGTATCAAGAAAATTCAAATATTTTGTTGATACCTTTATTTATCAACCAAATGATATAAACACACATATTAGTAAAAAATATGTGGAATTTTTGTAACAAAACATTTTAATGAATTTCAGTTAAATAGAAGTACTACAGGGTGTTAGCCATTTCACATTGGTTTAAAATTCCTAAAGGTTCATAAGATCATGATTAAAAAAAAAATTAAATCAGTCTCAGATTGTTGCGCTAGACAAGTAAAAAGCATAATTAGTATGCACAATGAGGAAATGAATTAAGTTTATCAATTTTTTTTTATGTGTAAAAACGCGTTGTCATTAACAAGCGAGATCAAAAGTTTTTTTTAAAAAAAAACTTTTGATCTCTTTTTTTTTAATTTTTTATTTGTTTTATTTTTTTGAATTTTCATACTATATTTTTCTATACAATGTTTTTTATCTGAAGATATTGTTGGTTTAGCATAGGAACAGCCACAAATAGTCAATAAGACTAATCCAAAGTCCATTATTGACTAACATTTTAGCGTACCGAAGTACTACTCAAGCGCTGAGTTGGCCGTGGTAGGATTTGAACCCGTATCATACAACAGTCCGGGTTTTAACTTTTCCTTTGACGCTCTAACCAACTGAGCTATCCTGCCACAGCCACAGTACACAGCCACAGCCACACCCACAATTGAAGTTATTCTCTAGTTAAGATTTTTCAAGATGTTTAATAAATTTTTTTTTATTAATTTATTTTATTAATTTATTTTTATTATTCAAAAAATCTTTATTTACATTTTTATTGTTTATCTTAAGTTAGGAAAATTACAAAGATCTTTGCATATTAAAAATATTATACTTTAAAATAAGTTAATAATGTTTTTTATAGTAAAAGATTTATTAATACTTTCGGTAAAATAAAGTAGATCTAAAAAGTTATTAATCTTTTTCAGAAGTATATAGAAATTCAGGTGTAATTTTTTTTCATTTTGATAATGGTCTCAGACAATAGATGAAGTCCAAAAAGTTCAAAGTTATTGAGATCTCTTTAACTTAAAGAAGTGAGTTTTTGTTTAATCTAAACTGTGCTAACAGTGTTTTTAAGCTTTCCAGTTATTCTGGCAAGTATATTTATTTGTCGAAATTTAAGGAAATTTAGAACATTGAACTTCATAGACTTTAGTAATGATCATTTGTATTTAATGGGAAAAAAATATTGAAAATGCAGGAATGCAAAAGTGTAATGACTCTTTAGATTTAAATTTTTGTTTCAGCTAAAGTAACTATAGTAACAGTATAGTAAATATAGTCTGAAACAAATCTTTATACATATTTAATATATTAAGGATAATAACGTTTCTTTTAGAAACAACAAGTTTATTGGAAATGTAGAAAAATGTTTATGCAATTAGAAAGAGAAAAAGTGAAAATGGCACAAAGTCAACAAAATTACACTCGAAAAATTAAACTGTATGTTATTAGTTTTTTTGTTATATATTTTCTTATGAGTGATTTAATTAAATTTTTTATTAAATTATGAATGTTTTCCTCAATTTACATGTTTTTTTCTGTGCTTTTTTTTCTGTGCTGATTTATTTTTTTAATTTAAACAGTTATTATTTTCCCAGAGAAAACAAAATTTTTATATCAAGTTTAATTTTTTTTTTTACAATTTATTAAATAGTTTTTTTTAGACTCAGAATACACATACAAAGTATTTATATCCTGAGTCCACGACATAAAATTATTAAATAACGCAATTGGAAAGCTTAATCTGACTTTTGAAAGACTTAAAGAAGTTTTGATAAATATTGAAAGTACATTAAACAACCAACCATTAAAATGCACTGAACATTTAGTAACGTAGACCATTAGGATACAATAATTGTGGCATCAGAATACAATAAGCGTGACATTCAACTTCTTTTATTAATACCAACCGAGAACACTTGTACTTATAAAATAGAAAAATTTGTTTCTTCAAAACCAATATAATATCTTTTAGTTTTCCTTCTTGTTTTTGCTAAATTAGTCAAAAACTGTCATTGATGCAGGTTAATTTTTTTTTGTAATGCATTGCATCATTTTACAATCCGTATCATTAATCCATTAATTTCAGGTGGCCTTTCTAATCAATTTGATAATCTGACTTGATTGACGGGTTTTTTGAAATTAAGTTACATACATTGCTGCCTTTTAATAAGTTTAAATAAACTTAACATGTTGCTTTCCATTTGATTTTAGATAACAGTCTCTAACAATAATAGCTTGTCTTAGATAACAGTCTCCAACAATAGCTTGGTGTTATTTTATTCAATATTATTACTTCATTAAGATTGACATATCAATTATCCTGTCCAACAGATTTTTTAAAGTGCTGGCATAATACTGAAAATTTGTTAATTAGTTCATCAAAATCTACTGTAACAGTGTTATTAACTTTTGCAGAGCAGGAGGGGGGGGGGCACTGTTTCATTCACTTTGTTTTGATTTTTATGATTTGCTTGTTTTCATTGTTTTTATAGTTAATAAATTAAGTTAATAATAAGTTTTCTAAAGAAGAAAACTCTTGATCAACATTAAAATTGTCATTCCTTGACACATAATTTTCAAGTTTTTCAAGTTTTTTTATTCCTTTTTTTTTTTTTAATATGCTTAATTTGACATATAAAGTGTCTAAGAAAGGTATATATACATTTATAGAAATTTATAAAAAAGTTTTTTTTTTAAATTCTTTTTTTTTTTACTTTCAATATGGCTACAAACAATCCCTTGTAATTAACAGAAGCCACAAGCAATCACTGAAAATTAACAGAAGCCACAAGCAATCACTGAAAATTAACAAAAGCCACAGCAACCACTGGAAGTTAACAGAAGCCACAAGCAAGCACTAGAAATTAACAGAAGCCACAAGCAAGCAGTTAACAGAAACTAATGAAGAGAGTTAAAGCACAAGAATTGGATTTGATACATGACTTGAAAATTTTTAAATTTTATGTGTCAGAAAATTATGAAGATAAGAAAGAATATCAAAGTACTTGTAACTTTTTCACAAGTTATTTGATAATTTTATAAGTATTTCATGCTTCATTAATGATTCTTTAAAGGGATGGTAGCTGTGATACCATTACAGCTACCATCTGACAAAACAAAAAATTACCTCTGAACACAATACTGGAAGTATATTAATTTAAATGCTCATGCAGTAGTATATACATTATCAAGACTAGAAAGAAAGAACTCTCAAGAACTGTCAACCATCAAAGATATCATAACCAATGATAGCAAAAAAGGAAAGTGGGCTAGTTTGGGAGTTACTGAAACTGCACCTAAAGACCTTGGTAGTTATTCCAAAAATACCAGAACAGAAAATTGACAAAATAAGCAATCCCAATTTTCAACAAGAATTGTGATATAGGGAAATAGTATCAGATTGTGGATAAAAGCTAGACAAATAAAACCTGTTTGAGCATGAAGGAACACTTATAGTTAAAGAATGTGACTTTGCTGAATGATGAGTTTTGATTAAGCGAGTTTAAGTTTTTGTTGATGGAACAAGTGACTCACTTAAGAAGTGATAATAATAGTATTTGCAGAGAAGAGAAAGAAAACTTTATGACAATAGGATGGTAGCTCCAACTTGGTAGCTTGAGCTACTATCCTATATTACAACTTAGCAGGTCCAACAACATTGTACTATGTTGTTTTAGACATTGTCTAAAAGAAAGTGAGCCTCATTTGGAAAAGTAGTCTGTTAATTTTCTGTTGAGAAAATGAAACCTTAGGAGATGCTATTTTTGCTATGGATTGTATATATGATTTCCATAAGAGTTCAATAGTGGATGATAATCTGAAAAGACATAAAGTGGAGGACTCTGTAAGACATAAAGTGGAGGACTCTGTAAGACATAAAGTGGAGGACTCTGTAAGACATAAAGTGGAGGACTCTGTAAGACATAAAGTGGAGGACTATGTAAGACATAAAGTGGAGGACTGTGTAAGACATAAAGTGGAGGACTCTGTAAGACATAAAGTGGAGGACTGTGTAAGACATAAAGTGGAGGACTGTGTAAGACATAAAGTGGAGGACTGTGTAAGACATAAAGTGGAGGACTGTGTAAGACATAAAGTGGAGGACTGTGTAAGACATAAAGTGGAGGACTCTGTAAGACATAAAGTGGAGGACTCTGTAAGACATAAAGCGGAGGACTCTGTAAGACATAAAGTGGAGGACTGTGTAAGACATAAAGTGGAGGACTATGTAAGACATAAAGTGGAGGACTGTGTAAGACATAAAGTGGAGGACTATGTAAGACATAAAGTGGAGGACTCTGTAAGACATAAAGTGGAGGACTCTGTAAGACATAAAGTGGAGGACTGTGTAAGACATAAAGTGGAGGACTGTGTAAGACATAAAGTGGAGGACTGTGTAAGACATAAAGTGGAGGACTGTGTAAGACATAAAGTGGAGGACTGTGTAAGACATAAAGTGGAGGACTGTGTAAGACATAAAGTGGAGGACTGTGTAAGACATAAAGTGGAGGACTCTGTAAGACATAAAGTGGAGGACTCTGTAAGACATAAAGTGGAGGACTCTGTAAGACATAAAGTGGAGGACTCTGTAAGACATAAAGTGGAGGACTGTGTAAGACATAAAGTGGAGGACTGTGTAAGACATAAAGTGGAGGACTGTGTAAGACATAAAGTGGAGGACTAAGTAAGACATAAAGTGGAGGACTGTGTAAGACATAAAGTGGAGGACTGGGTAAGAGTCCATTCATTAAAATATGAATATCAACAAAACTGTGAAAACTTACTAGAAGTAAAAACTGAGTTTTGTTTATGTGTTAAAAATTGCCAGCAACTGCAGGCCTCAAACTGTCACCGAAGAGAAATGAAAAAATTAGATAGAAATATTATAAAAAAATGAAAAAATTATAAAGGAGATAATAAAATCATTTTTGGATAATCAAATTTTTAGTAAGTCTTCACCAAATTTTGATTTAATGATCGATTTATGCTTAAGACACTTTATTTATAACACTTTTTGTATTTGTACAATACTAATATAAATATTAGTATTGTTGTAAAATGTTGCTTGGTTTTGTTATCATAAGATATTATCATTGCTTTTGTTAATAAATCCATATAAAAATCTTGTTTTAAGATAAAAATAAATCTTGTGATAAAAATCTTGTTTTAAAGTTTAATTTGTATCAAAAGAATAATAATAAATAGAATAGAAGTTAATAATAAATTAAAGTTTTTTTTTTTTTTTTTCTGATATCTTTTAAATAATAAGTATTTTTTATTCTACCTTATATAATAAATAATATAAATTAAAAGTAAATAATTTTTTTTTTTTTAATTTTCTATTATTTTATTTAGAACTTATCATTTCATTAACAGAAACTATGGTTTAAATAAACCAAATTGCTTAATGATGTTTTCTTTGTTAAAATGTGGCACTTGAATTTTAATAACTTTTTTTATCTTAACATTTTCTTTTTTTTAACATTTTTTTCCATATAAGTCCATATTTCCATTCCATATTTTTCTTATAAGTTCAGCTCCTGAAAAAATTTATAGTTTTCATTTCTTATATTAATAAAATTGTTAATTTAGTGTGATTTCCATTTGTTACTATCATTTTCTAATTATTTGAAAATTTTAAACTCAAGTTCTTGAAACTTTTTTCTTTGATTTAAGCATTTTTTTAACAAGAACACTGTAAAAATCAGCTACAGTTGCATGCCAAACATGAAATCAGAAGTAAATTTACAAAACAAGTGCATCCTAAACAAAAATTCAACCATCATTAACCAAAAATAACTGCAACTACCTTAGTAAAATTAATTGCCCTTTACTCAATTACTGTTTTACAAACAACAATGTATACCAAGAAACTATAACTTCGGATAACCCTTCAATAAAAATGTCATACATTGGTATAAGTGAAACTCTTTAAACTGAGACAACCAATATATTAATATACATTATCATTCAATATAATAAATATAATAGTGATACGGAACTGTCAAAAGAAATAAAAGATTATAATAAAACCCCAGTGGTTAGTTGGAAAATAATTAGATGCTGTGAAGCATATAACTTGACAACAAAATTGTGCAAGTTATGCCTTGATTAAAAATATGAAATTATTTCAAATGATGACAACAGTTTATTAAATAATAAAACTAAAATTATATTAAAATGTTGGCATTCCTTCTTTGTCAATTTGACACATAGTAAAATTAGACTAAGGCATCATGTAATTGATTTTTTGAAGTCAGATTCCATTCCATTGCTTAATTTGTATTTTTAACAGTTTTTTAATTTCTTGATTTAAAAATATATGACTGAAGATTGCTGCCAAGCATGAAACTTGGAGTATCAATAGAAGTTATATTTAAATAGAAGTTATATTTAAATCAATAGAAGTTTCATTTAAATATTTATTAAGTATATCAGATTATATAAAACATTTGTTTTCATAATATTGATCACTGTTAAATGAACAAGAGAATTTTTTATACATTATTGTGCAAAAAACATTATACAATATATATATATATATATATATATATATATATATATATATATATATATATATGCATGCAGGGGCATTTTCTAGACTGTTTTCGATAGAGTTGACCATATTTGCCCAAATCAAAAACTGAGGACTTTTTTTTTTTTCTTTACATTTTTACTGCATTTTTTTTTTTTCCAAAAAAAAACAGTGATTTTCTGCTAAAGTTTGATGGAACAAGGGGGTAATGCCGCCCAAATTTTTCCTTAGAATTTGCCCTGATATATATATATATATATATTCTTAATTTATATTATAGACTGAAATTAAACAGAGAAAAAGAACGTGAACTTCTTGAAAGACAACAAAAAATGGAAACAGCTAATATTGATAATATTCTAATGGAAGATATTGAAAACTTTCAAGTAAATCATTTTTAATGTTTTAAACTGTTTTATGTTGTTTATTTGATATTATGTTTATGTTAAACAAAATTATATTCATATGTTTTTGGTTCTTAATATTTATAGCTTTTAGTCATAAAAATGTTTTAATTTTATCTTTTAATTCTAATCTAATAATCATGTTTTTGTGTACATTAATACATATAATACAATAAAAAAGACAATTATTATTTCAACACTAATTAAATGATAAAGTAGGCTAAAATATATTCAGCACTTTTAATATTTATGTTAATTAAATTCTGAACGCATGTTAATATTGAAATCATTGCAAATCTTAAGAAAAGTAAAGAAAAAAAAAAAAAACATTAAAAACAAGAAACTATTTGAGATTAAAGGTAATATCTGATGGAATTCAATCAAATACATAAAAAAACTGAAGTTTATTAATAACGAATACAAAACCTTTTATATTAATCTTTTAGAAATGCACAAGTTTAAATGATGAGCAACCAAAGAAAATTTATAAGCAAAGTAAAGAATTAGAAAGGTATTGTCTCATTATCCTCTTTCACTTTCATTATCCTCTTTCACTTTCATTATCTTCTTTCACTTTGAAAAAAGTTTTTTATCTCTTGCTCTTTTTAGTAATGTCAAAGTATAATGCAATAATGTAAAGTTTATCTATGGCTTATGTTTTGAGCTGTCTCTAAATGTTGTACAACAATAAAGTTTGAATGAAGTCTACTTTCTGATAAAGTTGAACAAAATGATTTTGAAAAATTTTGAACTCTATGAAATTACTTACTAAACTTTTGACTATTTCTTTTTATAGTATATATAAGATATATACTATAAAAATTTACTTTTGGTTATTTACTTATGGCTGTTTACTGATAGTTGTTTGTTGTTGATACTTTTAGTTGTTTACTTTTTTAAATTTTATTTGTTTCTCTGATTTTTTTGTGATATTTTTTCAGCTACATGGAAGCTGTTCGTGAAGTAGCTAAAAAAAGAATAAGTCTAAGTGGAATATCCCTTCCACCTTTATGTCAGTGCGGACCTACAATTTGGGATGCTCATCCAGATACGTGTGCAAATAATTGTATTTTCTATAAAAATCCAAAAGGTATATAATCATAGTTGTTAGACTTAACTGGTTTGGAAGCTTCTAACTGGAGCTTCCAAATCAGAACTCCTGTTTTATTGTGTAACCTATTGACATTAGAATAGAACGTAAATCAAGCTTGACCATGCTCACAAAGTTTTAAATATCATTTTTTGCTTATGGTATTTAGACTTCTTGTGCGATAAGTTTAGTGAATAAACTCTTGTGTGATAAGTTTAGTAAACTCTTGAAAATAGAGTTAGTATAAAATTTAATTTATAGCAAAACAAACCCAAACACTAATAAAATCTTTAAGATGAACTTTAACAAACATGATTTGCAATATTAGAATAAATTAAATTAAAAGTTTAAATACTTTACTTATTTAGATTATTCTGAATGACCGAATTGAATTACTGTGATAACCGAATTGAACTGTGAATGACCGAATGAACTACTGTGATGACAGAATTAAACTGTAGTTCAATTTAGTCATTCAATGTAGTACTGTGTTGTGCTTATAGTTGATAATATGTCCTTTAAGTCAAACAATATTTAAAGGGATCCCAAACTCCCAACACATGTTGTGTTCATATTAAAGATAATGTTAAAAAAAAAGGTTTGAACCAAATTTTTTTGATTAAAAATAAATAATGAATGCATACCGTGAAAAACAAATGTTGTTGTTTTTGCCGAAGCTCGTCTTCTCCATTTTTTTCAACTAATTGGAGTCTTCAAATTATGCGTCGCAATCTACAGACTTTGGCAATTCCTTTGAAGCGCGTTTAATTCATAAAAGTTTTAGTATTTGACGTCACGGTAGACTTTTAACAAAAGAAAAGTGTAATTAAACTAAGCTGCGTTTTTCTACTGTAGTATTTTTTTAACATACAGCAAAATAAATTTATTTGCATTATTTTTCCAAACATCGCAAAAAAAATTTTGTAAAAAGTAAAAACAATAAATTATTTTTATTTTATAGGAGCAACTTATTTTTTACAGATATCTTAATAATTTTTAGATTTATATATCTTACTTATATTTCTTTAATTATTTTAATTAAAACAAATATTAAAGCTTTACTTACCAATCTCATGATTTTCATACAAGTATTTTACTTTATATAGAACGTTTTATATACGGTCTCTTGTTTTTGCGCAAGAGAGCGCAGTATTATATATTCTGATTCTTAATTATTTTTATTTAAACAAAGGGAACTATTTTCTAACTTCTCTGGTTATTTTTACGCTATGACAATTTTTTGTTTTCCCGTCAAAAAAAAGTATTTATTAACAATTACTTTCATAAACTGACAGTATTAATTAGAAATATTTAATGAATTGTTAACTTTTTTTATTATAAAATTTTTTTGATCACGCTGATTTAATTTAAATTGCTAAATTTGCTGAATTGGATACGGATAAAAAGGAAATACCATTTTATTTTACATTTGATTTTTGATAATGAAATTTTCAAAGTGTCAGCAACTCTATACCAATTAGAACCTGTTGAGATTATGAAAAAAAAGTGCAAGAATACACTAAACAATACAGTTGACAGTAGTATCAGATATGAAAACTCGTGAAAGGAATTGTGAGATCCTGATTTTGCATTAAAAGTACAATTAATTGCAACACAAGTCGGCATTAGAAATTTTGATTATAAGTTTACTGTTCAATATTTTATAACCATCAAATAAAAAACATAAAGTTTGTATATTTTTGCCCGTTTTATACAACTAATATTTAACAAAAATACGGACAAATTATTATTAAATAACGCAATAATTAACACATTAATTAAAGGCAATAATTCAAGATAGATGGTAATTTAGATTGTTAAAATGTCATAACGCGAATTTAAAAACATATTATATTTGGTATTTCCAAATTTGTGTCGTAATTGGTATTTATCTTTTAACATGAAAAATTAAAAAATTTTTAAAAACACAATTAACAAATACAAATTTTCAAGCAATTTTCTCTTCCAATTCTCACTTATTCAAAGAAAATTTATTATTAAACTTTTATTTCTCTCATCTAAAAAAAGAATGAGTGAAGCAAAAAAATATATATATTCTATACAACTCTTACTCATTCAAAGTTTAATTGCTTTTCTTTCTCTTTTGTTCTACTCTTTTATAAAAAGAGCGCCCGATGAAATAAAAACTTTTCTTTTTTAACATATAATTATAGTTTGAGATAAAATTAAATTAGAAATAAATCAACAATGAGCAAAGCAACGAACCGGCTAATCTGGAACTATTTTGATATTTATGAAAATAATCAACATAAACAACATTGCCAACAACAATTATCAAATAAACAACACAATCTCAAATAATTTTAGGGGCATTTTATTTTTATTGCTTAGTCGTTCTAAATAATAAGTAAATTTAGTTCAAGTTAATAATTCAATATTTACAGTTGCAATAGAATAAAGAAATGGTGTTTAATACTGAACTTTTTATTTAGTTATTTATTTTTTTACCTACATTTGTTATAAAAAACTTTAGAACCCCCGTCATTAAAATAATTTGTTTTAAATATATATTGATTTACGTGAATATTCAAACTAATTTTTTTGGTTTGACTTTCCGAACTTCATGCAAAGCAAATTGAAACGAAATATCGTCTAACCAAATAAAAAAGCTGTTACTAATTTTATACGGGTAATTAATGTAAAACAATTTTTGAGATAATTCATATAGAAAGATATATAGAGAGAGATATTTCATATAGAGAGAGATAATTGATAAAAGATAAAAGATCTCTCATATAGAGAGAGATAATTCATAGAGAAATATTCATAATTTATAAACATTAAATATATGGTGCAATAACAATTTATAGCAACGAACCAGCATAAAATATTTAAGGTTTTTAATATCTTTTTAAATATTAAAAGTAGAAAAAAAAAAAAACTAAACAAATAATCAAAAAAACTTCGACTAAAAATAAATAAAAATATTTCTAGAGTTTAATTTATTAAAAGTCTACCGTGACGTCAAATACTAAAACTTTTATGAATTAAACGCGCTTCAAAGGAATTGCCAAAGTCTATAGATTGCAACGCATAATTTGAAGACTCCGATTAGTTGAAAAAAATGGAGAAGACGAGCTTCGGCAAAAACAACAACATTTGTTTTTCACGGTATGCATTCATTATTTATTTTTAATCAAAAAAATTTGGTTCAAACCTTTTTTTTTAATATTATCTTTAATATGAACACAACATGTGTTGGGAGTTTGGGATCCCTTTAAGCAGTTAAGTATTTAACAGTTCACTTTCGTCCACGCAATGAAACATACAAACATATGTTTATTGTATTTTCAAAATAAAATATTTTTTTTTATCGATTAAACACAATGAAATTGTTAATTATGTGAAAACTACTTAACAGATTTTTTTTAATTTTTTGACAGAATGAAGCTAGTTAAATTATTTATTTATTTCAACAATTTTTTACATTTTTCATCAGATGCTTAGATAAAAACTTGACATCATCTGTTGGATCTTGCTTTGAGTTACTTTTTTTGAGGCGGCTATCCATTTTTTCTTAAAATCTCTTTTATTTGTAACTAATTGCTTTTTAATAAGGTTCCTATAATTGATCAATAACTTTCAATAACTTGCTGCTCAGGACAATTTGCAGAATCTGCTTCCTTAGGAACAAATTCGATGCCATTTTGTTCATACCATTCTAGAGACTTCTTGGAGTAGTGAATTGTACCCAAATCAGGCCAAATTATTGTGGACATTTCATGCTTTTTCAAAAATGGCAAAGGCTTTTTTTTAAGCATTCTTTTATATATAAATCTGCGTTCAAAGTTTTATGAGTAATGTATGGTGTACTTTTTAAACCACAGGAGCAGATTGCTTGCCAAATAAGGAACTTGGGAGCAAATTTTTAGTTTAAATATACTTGAATTTTTTGGCAACATATCTACATTTCGACTGATAAAAGTATAACTGCCAAGGCAATTTTGAAAAGTCTTTTTTGCAATAGGCTTCATCGTTTTCAATTATGCACAAATTTTTCTCGGTTTAAAAGTTTATATAGCTTTTTTGAACGAGGAATTGCTTTAATTTCTCCATCAAGGGTCGCTTTGGAGTTTTCTTTTTACGATATGCTTTATATTCTTGATGTCTATGTACTTTTCCTATCAAAGCTTGGCTGCATTTAAATCTCTCTGCCACTGACATGAATTTGCCTATATCAATTTGAACATTTCTGATGAGTCTTAATTGGCGAAACACAGTGTTAAATGAAAAATGTTTGATAAGTGGTTTTCTGCTAATTTATATATTTACGCACCCACACACACACACACGCACAAATATATATATATATATATATATATATATATATATATATATATATATATATATATATATATATATATATATATATATATATATATATATATATATATATATATGTATATATATATAAACGGCATTTTCAGAAAAACGTAGAATAATAAAAGAAAAGACTTCTGCCCCAAACCATCAGTTGATGTAGCAACATTGCTTTGCTGCAGCAGGCTGTAAGAATGTCCATCGATATGTACTGAAGCCCCCAGCAGCAAGCTGTTGAATGAGCCTAATAATTCATCACTATATATTAATATAATCTTGCAAAACACTTTTTTCATAATGATGATAAAACCAATAAGTATAAATCAACAAGTCAAAATGCATTTTGGAATTTGGAGCTTTGCTAGTTGTTATAACATTGCTTGAGTGTTTTTTAGAGAGACACGCACACACACACTTTATGTGTAAAATAGATATAAATCAACACTATGATACTATATAAATTAGATATAAATCAAGTTTCAGCTCAATTTTAACAAAACACTGTTTTGATGAATAAAATGCAATTTTATTTACAAAATATAAACACAGTATCCATTCCTTGTATAAACGTTTTTATAAAATACAAATCTTTTTCTTTTTTTGTGTATTCTTTAAGCTGTTGATTCTTGTCATAAAGTTTATTCTGAGTATTTTTTAGAAAAGAGCTTCATGGGTATCATTGAACCTTTAGAAAAGAGCTTTATGGGTTTCAGCAAGTTCATTAGGAAGCCTCCTGATGAACCTACTGGTGGAGAAACAGGCTGTTTAAGAATTAAATTAGATAATTGTTTTTACTCCTCTTTTTTTTTAGGAGCATTGAGCTATTTGTATAATACACTAACATAATTTATATATATATATATATATATATATATATATATATATATATATATATATATATATATATATATATATATATATGTATATATATATATATATATATATATAATATATATATATATATATATATATATATATATATATATATATATATATATATATATATGTATATATATATATATGTATATATATATATATATATATATATATATATATATATATATATATATATATATATATATATATATATATGTATATATATATATAATATATATATATATATATATATATATATATATATATATATATATATATATATATATATATATATATATATATATAAATATATATAAATATATATATATATATATATATATATATATATATATATATATATATATATATATATATATATATATATATATATATATATATATATATATATATATATATATATATATATATATATATATATATATATATATATATATATATATATATATATATATATATATATATATATATATATATATATAAATATATATGTTGGTTTTGTGCATTGCGACCTAGTTTTTTTTATTTTTATTTTTTTTTATTTTTCAATTAGTGTTCTTTTTATATATATATATATTTTTTTTTTAGTTTATATAAAGTTTCTAACTGCTGCCTTGGCCAACACCAGATGATAGATTGTTTTAAATGTATTTGCTGCTTATATTTGTTTATATGTATATAAAGAAAAGATTTTTACTATTTTTTTTGTTATTTATTCAAATCTAGAATAATTTTATCAGACTAATATATTTAACATATTAAGTTAAATATAAAAAAATATATTAACATAGTTGAAAATAAACATAAGTTAATATTATGACATAAATTAGTATTATAAATTATTATTGTTAGGTAGATTTAGGTTAACACTGTACTAATATATTTTTCTCATTTTGCTTTTGAAAATCCTGACTTCATTCTAGACAAAGTAAAAAAAATCAGAAAACGAAAAAAGTGTTTGCAGTTATAAATTATTTTCCTATTTGATTTGCCATAATAAATGTCTTTCTAGTGCTTTCTTTTTGAACTCAAGCTTTCAGTCAGATATTATTTGTTATTATAAGTATGTTTCAGACAATAAGCATGTTTACGTGCCAGGTCCACAATTTTTCAAAGAAAAATATATTATTTTAAAATTTAATTAAGTGAGTACATGGAATTATTCACTAAGGTACAAGCCATCAACTGATTGCAAAAAGCATGTCTGTTATTTTTTATATATGTTGTTTTTTCTTCGTTAATATATATATATATATATATATATATATATATATATATATATATATATATATATATATATATATATATATATATATATATATAATATATATATATATATATATATATATATATATATATATATATATATAGTATATATATATATATATAGTATATATATATATATAGTATGTATATATATATAATATATATATATATATATATATATATATATATATATATATATATATATATATATATATATATATATATATATACTGCAGGTTTTGGTTGGCATGGCACTATTCTATTATACTCTCTAAAATCTTTGATCCAAACACTTTTTTCAGAAAAAGAAAAAGAACATTTAAAAATTTATGACCTAATAATTGATAAATTTTTGTTTTGTTTTGGCAAGCAGTTTTGTTTTGAGGTAAGTATGATAGAAAACTCTAACTGTTAAAAAAGTTGCTTTTTTTAACTCTTCTTATTTTTTCTACAAAAAGTGTTGGGATTAAACTTCATCTTTTCTTGATTTTCGTGCCTGGGTTTTTTTTTTCCCCAACCCAAATTGGAGTTGAAGTACCTATGGCTGTTTAAGTATGATATCATTAGATGCACTTCATGTATGTACTGATGTATATTCTGAAGAGATACTGAAATGGGTAGAAAGGTTTCAGCAAAGATATATAACTCCGCAATAAAACATTGATATTTCTTTAATATAAATTTTTTGTTATTCTTTTTAATTTTGATTTATTTAATTTTACAGTTTTTAGTATAAAAATAGAATAAAAAATATGGCTGTCCAAATGACATATTTTTTTACTCCTTTGGTGTTGATGTTGATATCAGAAGAATGTCATGATGAGTTTTTTGTTAAATTCAACATTTTAAATGGTGTGTTTTATTATTTATTACCAAATTTATTTATTTTTCCATTTTTTGTAGTATTTGGTTGCTTATAAAAAATATTTTCCATATAGTACCTTGTTTGAAAATTGCCATTACCAAAGGACTAGGATGTGTTATTATAGTAGGATCAATGATAGGTAAGATATAATCATAATTTTTCTAAATATCTAAATTGATAAAAAATATGTTGAAATTATTTTTGATATATTGATAAAGCATATTTTCATAAAATATGTTGAAATCATTTTTGATATGTTCCAATTATTTTTCTTTTTAATCTTTTAATGATATAAAAATTGAAATAAAGTAAAAAAATAAAGTTTTTTCGTTTAGTAAAAGTTCCTCAAATCATAAAATTACTTCAAGCTAAAAGTGGTGAAGGATTAAATATTATTTCTTTACTTTCGGAATTAGCTGTGTCAACATTTTCTATAACGTATGCTTTTCAGAAAAGGTTTCCTTTTAGGTGAGTTATTTTGTAAATATATTTACACTCGCATTTTTAGAAAATATTTCGGAGGCAACAGTAAAATATCTATTTTATACACTTAAGTTTACTGTGTATGTTAATGTTTTTATTTTCAAGTCATCTTCATTTCTGGCCTAGTTTATTAAATAAGTTAATAATAATGATATATATAATATTAGGTTGTCATGAAAGTGAAATGCAATTTGTTGCATCTAACTTTTGACGCATTTTTCTGAAAAATGCATAAATAAGTAAACATAAAAATTCATAATTTTTAGGTAATGAAAAAGTTAAATTTAATTATGAAAAAAATAAGCAATTATAGTAATTGTAGTAATAGCATTAATAAGAAGTATGTAATAGAGAATTTTAAAAAGAATGTCTTTATCTATACTGTATATGTTGTATCTAATACTGTTTTAAAGGTAATTCTGTTAGTAGTTCATGAGTTTGTGGTCTAGGTTAGACACTTCTGTACCAGAGGCGTCCCGAGGGGGGGCGTAGGAGTGTCTAGCGCCATTGCAAAACTTATTAGTCGGCAAACTTGGTTCTATAGTGGGCAGTCGGCAAATCTTAGCCAACAAGGCCTCTCTCTCCTCAATTCCCCCCCCCCCTCCTTCATCCCACCTTCCCTCCTTTTTAAGATCTCTTTGGTATGTACCTGTGCTTTACTCATTTTAGTAACAGGTTGACAAAATTGTTACTAAATTAGAATTATTACGATATTCATGAAGCGTGATTTTTTTCAACTTGCGTAAGTAAAATGTCAACCCGGGAAAAAAAAGTTCTATAGAATTTATATAAACTTTTGAAAAATATGGCCTATAAAAAATCTATAGAATGTCTATTAGTTTCTATAGCAATTATTATAACACTTTTTTTTCTATAGAATTTTTACAGGCTAAATGTTTCAAAAGTTTATAGAAATTCTATGTAACTTTTTTTCCTGGGAATAGATGGACGTCAAAGTTGTCGATAAAAATAACTAAAATGTAAACTTAATTGACTACGAAAATAATAAAGTTTCACTTAAATAAAGTCGATTTGCGACAAAAATGATAAGTGTCACTAAAATTTACAGTTAATTGAGACAAAAATGATCAAAGTGTTACTGAAAAAAGTTTTGGTAAGAGAATTGACGACCTTGAAAATACCTTTATTGACGTGTTATGAAAGAGTTAATGATTAATGAGTATTTATATTTTAGTCTCAAAATCAATTTTAAATTTGACTTTAACATATTATTAAATATTCTTTAATATTTAGTTCGTGGGGCGAAGCATTGTTTTTGGCTGTACAAAATGGTGTTTTAGTCATTCTAATTAATTATTATAATAAGAAGTATTTTGCAGCGTTTATATTTACCCCAATATATTGTGGAATAACATACTTTCTTTCGACGCCGATCGTACCTATTTATTGGATTGTCAAATTGCAAGAATTTAACCTTGTTTTTATTGCAGCCGGTAGAGTAAGTATCTAAAGTTGTTTATATATATCACTAAAGAGTATTTTTCAGTTTTACCTTTTATAAATGTTGTTTTCTTTTAATTGAATTTTTATAGAAAAAAATTTTTCAGTCTTAACACAAACGTTTTCTTTTTTATTTAAGCTTCTTCAAATAGTTGATAATTACTCGATGGGCCACACCGGGCAACTTTCTTTTGTCACAACTTTGTTAATAACTGTTGGAGGGCTAGCACGTGTTCTTACGTCTCTTCAGGAAACTGGTGATATGTTGATGACGCTGCAGTTTGTAGTGTCATCAATGTTGAATGCCGTGATTTTGGCTCAATTGCTTTGGTATTGGAATGTTGTACCCGATAAAATAAAGAAAAAAGTTCAATAGTTTAAGTTTCTTATCTTTTCTATCGCCTTTCGTTATTTCTTTGTGAATTTCCCAAACGTTTAACTATAATGAATGTTAATTGATTTTAAATTAAATGATAAAGTTAAAAATTTTGTTATTATTTTCTGAATTAAACTCTATTTAAAAATTTTATACTTCAATTTAATAGAAAATATTTTATTTTAAATTTTATTAATATATAATAAAATATTAGTGCCATAAATACAAACCTGTATCCTATTGCAACTAAAGTCAAAATCGACAAACACTATATTTGGCAATTTGTGACATTTACATGAAAATGATCATTTTCATGTAAATGTCACAAATGGTAATATCAAAACAACCGCGAAAAAAAAACGTTTTGAACCAATCAAAATTCAACAATCTGTCTCGTTAACAAAAAGATTCTTTATCAGAGAAACGCATATATTGCCCTAGGTGCATGTCATCTATTACCAAACCCGAAATGGGAGGAAGCTTATTGAACATCACATTTAGTACATTGAGCATCTGTTAACAAATCTGGATTGAGAAGAAACATTGAACATCCCATTTAGTAACAAACACTGTAATATACAAAAGCATTTCTTCTAGGATTGTAAAACATCTAAGATACCAGCGGCTCTGGTATCTTAGATGTTTTACAATCTTCTCCAAAATAAAATATTGACGTAACAACACTTTCTAAGAATTGAAACAGGACTAAAAGATTTAAAATTTTACTACCTGACTGAGAAGCATAACTTAGAACTTTTCAAATAAAATAGCCTACCCAGCACGCTTTGTTTTAAACGATTAACAATGGACCTATATAGACAATTTTGAGCGGTTTTTAGGAGTTTTGCTCATCGGACCATAAGTAGCAGCTGCTACAAACGACCAGCCGATAACTTTCTTAAATGTTAATAGTGGCTAGTCATTGATCAGCCACTTTTGGCGGCTGCCACTAATGGTCCACCAAGTAACCGATGAGCAAAATTACAGTTGACCTATTATGTATATATATATATATATATATATATATATATATATATATATATATATATATATATATATATATATATGTGTGTGTGCTTGTGCTTTAATACTTTTAAAAAAAAAAAACGAAATCAAAGAAGATTCAGCATTTTCGGGTATAAAACTTCAAAAAAAATCTTTTCGCAGATTCCCTTAATAGCGCCATTTGGCGTATATCAATGTCTATATAAAAAGTTAATTGAGTAAACTTAGAAAGAAATATTTTTGTAATTAGCTTTGTAATTACTATTTCTACTGTTATATATATATATATATATATATATATATATATATATTATATATATATATATATATATATATATATATATATATATATATATATATATATATATACACATACATACATACATATATATATATATATATATATACACACATATACATATATACATATATACAGATGTACACACATATACATACACATACACATATATACATATATAGACATACATATATTTATTTTTTTTTTACTTTTTTTTTTTACTTTTTATAATTTTTTTTTTTTTAACTTATTATAATCATTTTTACTAACTAAGAATATGCTTTGCTTGCCGTTTAAACGACGATATTCCATTTAAGTCTTTTAACTTTTGATTTTTCAAGTTTTTCCATTTTTTAGGACCCTGTGACATAATTAAAAATTCAGAACTTAAACAACATATAATAATAATGTCAGGAATGATGTATTTCAGGAACTGAGAAGATTCTCAATTCCTGACATACATAATTTAGCAATCTTTCCCGGTCTTGTCTTTTTTCTCTTTATTTATTTTTTATTTTTATTTTGCAGTAATCTTCGGCAAGTGAATCTTCGGCAAAATCTACGGGAGTAAGACGTGTTTTAAGTAAATAAAAAAGTAATGGAAATCACAATGAAAAACATTGAAATACTAATATCAAATAAAATAGATGAACAGGAAAAGTATTTTAAAGGAAACGGAAAAGCTACTCAAGGAACAAGAGAAAACTTTTACTTTAATTGTAAGTGGCAACCTTAAAATCATATCAGATAAACTTAACGTGATGGAGAAAGAAATTTTAGAAAACAAATCAAAAATTAAAAATATAGAAAAGGATCTTAACGACGTTAAAAATAGTCTAAATTTCCAAGAAGAAAAAACTTTAGAAAAACTTTAAAAAATTAAAAAATACTTTGACAATGAAATCAATGTATTGTACACAAGAACAACAGAGTTAGAAAATCGATCACGTCGAAATAATCTCAGAATAGATGGACTAGTAGAAAAACCAGGAGAAAGTTGGAGCGAGTGTGAAATTGCAGGGAAAGAAATCTTTAATAAAAATCTTAAAATATCAAGCGAAATAGTTGTTGAAAGAGCCCATCGAATTGGCCCAATTAATAATAAAAAATCTAGAACAATAGTATTAACAAATATGCTATTCAACAATTTTAAGAATCACTATCGGCAATAAACTGGGATAAAGTATACCAAGAATGTAACCTTGGACGCACCAACTCTGCTTATACTAATTTTGAAAACATTTTCTTAAAAAACTATAATAAATATTTCCCAATAAAAGTAATGCTAGTAAAAGAAAAACATCTAAAATGTCCGTGGATCACCAAAGGAATTAAAAAATCTTCCAAAAAAAAAAAAAAAAAACTTTATATCAAATACTTAAAAAATAAAAATACAAACGATATAAAAATTTACAAACGATATAAAAATTTGTTTGAAAAAATAAAAAAGATTTCAAAAAAGAATTATTACTCAAATAAAATAAAAAACTCCAAAGGTGATATTAAAAAAACGCGGGACGTAATTAAAGAGATAATTGGGAATAAAAATTGCAAACCAAATAGTTTACCTACTAAAGTCGTTATAAATAATGAAGAGTATGTCAGTAGTGACGTAATCTCAGAAAAGTTTAACAATTTTTTCGTTAACATAGGCCCTCACCTGGCTACAAAAATTAATTGTCCAAACAACTCATTTGAGACATACTTAACTAATAACAACAACAAATTAGCATTTTGCGAACTAAAAATTGAAGAACTTAAAGTTGCGATAAAATCTCTTAAAATAAATAAATCTCCAGGTATAGATGATATTTGTAGCAATATCGTTATCGATGTCTTTTTGGAGATACGCAAACCGATCTTCAAAATATTTAAATCATTAATTAAAACAGGTACTATACCAGATAAATTGAAAACAGCTAAAATTATACCAATTTTTAAAACAGGCGAAACATCTTTATTAAATAATTACAGACCGATCTCTATACTGCCTACTTTCTCTAAAATATTTATAATAAATTATACGAATATCTCCTTCAAAATAACCTCTTAAACAAAAAACATTTCGGGTTTCAAACAAAAGACTCAACCGAACATGCCATTTTAGATCATGTAAATAGCATGAGTAATTCTTTCGATAAAAAGCAATTTATATTAGGGACTTTTATAGATTTATCCAAAGCGTTCGACACAGTTAATCACAAATCTTACTTAAAAAAATGGAAAGATATGATGTTAAAAATATATCCCTTGACTGGTTCAAAAGTTACCTGTGTAGCAGAAAACTATGCGTCATTACAGATCATAATAAATATCCAGACCTACTAGAAATAAAATACGGAGTTCCCCAAGGTTCCATTCTGGGTCCCCTTTTATTTCTAATATATATCAACGATCTTCCAAAAGCCCTAAAAAAACTTGATGTAATAATGTTCGCTGATGATACAAATTTATTTTACTCATCGCCGTCTATAAGCAACCTTCACGAATCTATGAACACTGACCTTGAAAACCTCAACATCTGGTTTAAAGTAAATAAATTATCTTCGAATACAGAAAAAACAAAATATATCTTGTTTCACTCCAATCGTCTTAAAAACTTTATACCAGGCACTCTACCTTCGCTAAAAATTAATAATATAAACATCAAAAGAACTGAAATAACTAAGTTTCTTGGAATAATTATTGACCAGAATATTAATTGGAAAGTCCATATTAATACATTAAACGCAAAAATATCAAAAAGTATCGGCGTACTCTACAAAGTCAAACCTTTGCTTTCCCAAGACAACTTAAAAATTCTCTTCTTTTCTTATATTCAAAGTTACCTAACATACGCCAATATTGCATGGGGAAGTACCCATAAAACTAAATTAAATTCACTCTACATACATCAGAAACATGCATCAAGATTAATTTATAATAAAAACAAATTCACTCATGCCGACCCTTTACTTAAAAATTCGAATGCATTAAATATCTATCAAATAAATATTTACCAAAATATCTTATTCATGCTAAAATACAAACTCGGACTTGTTCCGAAATACTTTACTTATAGCTTTTTTCATATCAACGCAAACAAACATTTCACACGAGGAACAGGCAACTTCACCTTGCCTTTAAAAAAAACAAAATTTTCGCGATTTTCTTTTATATACCGTGACCCATACTTACATAACAAAATAATACTTCAAAATATGGAACTTAATAAAATGGATAACCTTATTGCTCTGAAAAAAAAAACTAAAACATATCATAATTAACTTAACCAACTTCATCGAAATGTATTAAACAATTTGTGAAAAATAGTAATAATAAAAAGCCCTAGTACTTCTAATATATAGTAGATACCAAAATACTTATGTGTATTTGTTGAACTTGTTCATTAAAGTTTTTTTTATGTTTTAAAGGTTCTCGATGAAAACTATTTTAGTCTTCTGCGAGTTTCCTTGCAACAAAGAAAAATATTTTTTAAGAATAATTTTATATATATATATATATATATATATATATATATATATATATATATATATATATATATATATATATATATATATATATATATATATATATATATATATATATATATGTATATATATATATATATATATATATATTATATATATATATATATATATATATATATATATATATATATATATATATATATATATATATATATATATATATATATATATATATATATATATATATATATATATATATATATATATATATTCAACAACGTCCACATGCAAGTCCCTAGTAGCCCTGTGGTACGACGGACTTGCATTTTTTTTTTAA